TCTGACTTTTTCTAAATGAATACTATTTCTAGAGATTTAAATACATTTGTGCCATAATAACACAGTAATGTAAATGTGGTATTGAAAAAATATATATATATATACACACATACACATATACACACACGTTGTTGCACAAATAGAACACTTTAAAATATGTGTTAATTGACCAAAGACAAAAATAAGCCAGAACTACTACAGTCATGCATTATCAGTAAGACCATTATGATAATACTACAATTATTTTTCATAATCTGTAGCACCCCATCGATACCTCATAGGTTAGGTCAGTGTGACATTACTAGCTTGATAATTCCCAAGTTGGTAAATCGTGCTATTATCAGAGTTGCAATCATTATATTTATGTATTTTCACATACTAGTAACAATCAGAAAGTGAAATTTTAAAAACTAGTCCATTCATAATTGCATCAAAATGAATAAAATGCTTGGAAATAAAAAAGGAGTGCAAAACTACAAAACATTGCTGAAAAATTTTTGTAAGTATCCAAATGGAGAGATAGTCCATGTTCATTGTATGCTTTAAAGGACAGACATCGCTGAAGGACTCAATATTGCTAATGTCATTTCTCTCAACTTCATCTATACATTCAATGCAATCCCTACCATAATCCCAGCAGGCATATGCACGTGTGTGTGTGTAAACTGGTAAGTTGATTCTAAAATTTACATGGAAATGCAAAGGAACCAGAAGGGCAAAAATAATTTTGAAAAAGAGTAAGTTGGAAAAATTATACTCTTGATTTCAAAACTTCTTATATAGCTATAGCAACCAGGACAGTGTGGTAATGGCATAGGACTAACATGTAGATCAATGGAACAGACCAGAGTGTCCAGAAATAGACTCACAGATATACACACAACAGATTTTTTGACAAAAGGACAAAGGCAATTCAGTGGTGAAGGATTTTTTTTTTTTGACAAATGATGCTGGGACAACTGAGCATTACTATGTAAAAAACAAAAACAAAACAATTTTTACCCTATTCACACCATACACAAACTGAACTCAAAAGAACAAACTGATAAACTGACCCTCATCAAAATTAAAAATACCTATGCTTGCTTTAAAATACACCAATGAGAAAATGCAAAGATAAGCTACAGATTGGGAGGATATAGCTGCAAAGTATATATCTGATGAAAGACTTGTATCCAGAATATATAAAGAACTCTTAAAACTCAGTAAGAAGACAAATATAGCAATTTAAAAATGGGCAAAGGATTTGAATGGGTATTTTACCAAAGAAGACATAGAATAGTGAATAAGCACCTAAAAAGATGCTCAACATCAATAGTTACCAGGGGATTGTGAATTAAAACCACAATGAAATACCATCGCATATCTCCTAGGGTGGCTATAACCAAAAATAACAAACAACATCAAGGACTAGTGAAGATGTGGAGAAACTAGAACTCTTTTGCACTGCTGATTGGAAGGTAAAATGGTACAGAGACTTTGGAAAACTGTTTGGCTGTATCCTGAAAAGACAACGTGCACTTACAACTGCAGCAATCCCACTTCCAGATGTCTACTCAAGAGAAATGAAGACACATGTCCTCACAAAGGCTTGCACATGAATTTCATAGCATTAGTTATCACAGGTAAGTATTGGAAACATTCAAATGGTAACTACCATGTGAATGGATAAACAAAAATGGGGTATCCATATGACAGAAGTAGCAGCAGCTGACTGCTAGTACATGCTACAATCTGGATGAATCTCAAAAGCATGCAAACTGAAGAAGCCTGATACAAAAGACTATTGTATGATTCCATTTTTATGAAACATTCACAAATTGTAAATCTATAAAGACATAACGCAAACTGGTTTGTCTTGTAGGGCAGGGGTAGGTGCAGGAAATGACTACAAATGAGCACAAGAGAACTTTTAGAGATGATGGAATTGCTCTAAAGCTGGATTATGGTAGCTGTTACACAACTCTATAAACCCACAAAAAATTATTCAAATGTACAGTTACAATGGAAGACTTTATTGGTATGGAAATCATACTTCAATGAAATGAAAAAAAGGGAAAAATACTTCAGGTTAAAGTAGGAACTGATCATCAGGTATGGATGATGTAAAGGATGGAGTCAGTTCTGGAATTAAAGATGGTAGTCTTAAGTGTTTGTGCAATGAGTAATGAGTTTCTGAACCTGGCTAATCAAGAGAGAGAGAAGGAAAAGCCAAAATTCTTTATAATTTTCTTTTTTATTTCATTATTAGATAATAGCCTTTCTATAGCCTTGGTTTCCTTAGCTGGAAAACAGGCATAACAGTACCTCCTTCATAGGGATAAAATGAGACCTAATGGGATCATGGACATAAGAGCTCTCACTATAGTGGCTGGACACATAGATGCTAAGGATTAGCTATTAACAGTCATAAAAACATTCAGGTTTCCTCTATAGAGGTGAAAATACTTAAGAAAACATGTTTCTCTACTTCCATAGCTATGAAATTTCCCTTACTGTAAAAATGGAACCACAATTTAATCAACCTTACAGTTTGTTATAATAAAATTACTGACAGTGGATACATTTTGTTTTTCAATCAGAAATTTCAAAATGTACCGTTTTCAAGCCATATTTAAAAAATTCAAAATGATTAACAAAATTAGATATTTCCATTGGCATGAATGAAAACTAGTTGATTTAAATACAGGAGCTTATCAAGAAGCATAAACTATTTGCAGACAAGTTAATCTTACATAAAAAGTGACACAAGCAAAGAAGAATATCCTAATTTCTTCTTTGACCCACAAACATTCTTTTAACTTATTTGATCACTTTAATTTTATAAAATTATAATTTTATAATTTTATATAAATATATAAACCCAGAATTGTAGGGTTTGAAGTAACCTAAATAGGCCATCTATCTATCTTCAACATTTTTCTCTCATAAAGACTTATCCTACTTTTAAAATAGTCCACTGGAGAATCGGTAACCTACTTAGGAGTGAGTGCTCTTCTTTCCGAAGAGTGTTCCTTACTTCTGTGCTTTCCTGAAAAGAAGCCCAGTCTGCTTTTGAACAAAGGGAAGGGCAGGCTTCATTATAAAATGAGGGTTATCTCAGGTGAATTACAGAGTTCTTCAGCTAACCAGTTTGAAGTACAAATGGGGACAAGAATAACGGAAAACTGGTGCACAACAAAACTGGAGTGCCTTTTCTTGGAGGGTAAAAAGAGCTAAAGAAACAAGGCCAGGACATGGGGACATATTAGGTGCCATGCTGTATAGTTTAAGAAAGAAACTAGGGCCAGAGTACACTTGTATATTGTACAGTTCAGAGGGACAGAATCAGCCAAGCAAAAAAACAAAGGGACAGAGAGTTACCTTCAGCTGTAAAACAGACAAGCTGCCTCATGTTAGGACAAGAGAGACCTTATGGTAAGATGCAAGTATGTAAATTTCATTAAATATCATTTTCGTGTGCTTGAAATTTGCTTTATTAAAACAATACCCAAAGATACTGATTTCCAATTATCTGTATTTTTCTTACATTTCTAGTTGTTCTAGTTGCCTATAAATGCAATATTTTAGTCTCAAAGGACTAGTTTACAGTATCTTTAGAAATCATTGGTAGCTTCTCATATACTTATTGTGCCTAAAAACTGTAATTTGGATGTTACAAATCTGTTTAGTAACATTCCTCATGAAATATTCTTTGTGCACCGAAACTTGTGAAGTAGTTAAAACTGACTAGGATTATTTCTAGAGCATAGCAGGTTAGGTAAACTTTGAGATTTGAACTTTCTGTAGCAAGTGAAAAGGGGAGGTGGCTGTCAGTAGCTTGCCGGGAAGGGGTGTTGGTGCAATGGATGGATGGACGGACTCAAAGGGAGCCCCTCCATCCTATCACTGAAACAAAGTTGTAAGATCCCACTCTAACCCCTCAGACTGCATGCTGGCTTTTGGGGACTTCCTTCCTTCTCAGAAGATTCTTTTGATATCTACTTTCTTCTGGAGAAAATGTGGTGTGTGTGTGGCGGGGGGGGGGGGGGGGGGGGAAGCACACAGTGTAATTGTAAGCCAGGCCAGGCTTTCCACCCCCTAAGGGAAATCCCATCCAGTCCATATGCCTCTAGGGACAACTCTATCTAAGGTACTATCTTTAATAAATAATATTTGCAGCAAGAAAAAACTGAACTATCACTAGTATGCCATTTATCACAGAAATAAAAATTCTGAGATACCCAAGGAGGCCTGAGCATCAAAACAGTTTTTATTCTCTACATTTTTTATATAATTGATGAGTTGGAAAATATATTACATTTCCTAAATAGACTATTCTTTCTCTTTGCTTCTTTAAAAAAAGCGATACTTTACTCTTGTAGGACTGAATATTCATTTGCACATCTTTTTCTATCTTTTGCTGTACATTTGCAGAATTCAGGTTGCCATAGAAGAAGAGTAAATGAAATTTTAGAGCCAGCTTTCCTCATTTTAAAAATGAAATATCTGATGCCCAGAGAGGCTGTTGGCCCTCCTCCAGGTCCCCTACAGGAGGCCTGACTCTGCAGCGGAGCCCAGATGAGCCTACTGACCCTCAGCTCTCCCCAGCACTCTTACCCATCTTCACCTCCGTTGGGAACCAATGTTGCAAAGAACCAATGTAACAACCTGGCCAGCAGGGTGTGGATTTAGTTTACATGTACAAAGCAAAGAGCACTTACCTTCTTTCTTCATTTTTTTTTGGGACAAACCTAAACATGATGTGATAAGGATTTGCATGCAGATAGATGGATAACACAACAAAGATAAATTTGGTTGACACAAACAATGATTTGGGTTGGTGTACATGTTATTAACCACTGTGAAATATAGATGGTTATAGAAGCTAATAAAGTAAAATAAGTCTTTTTTTTTTCTTTAGCCTACCATTGACAGTATATATATATATAAATGCTAAAAAGAGATGGGGAGTTACATTATGAACAATAAATTTAAAAATGACATTAGTCTTTTAACAATAGATTATTTCAATAGTTTATTTCTGTTAATGAGAGGGATATCTGCTGAATAAATTCAAATAGTTAATTTTATAATAGTGAGTGATAAGGTACAGCTAGAAAAGTTAACATACAGCATTATCTTGAAATTTCAGGGGATATAATGGTTGGCTTGAATTTCATCTATCTTTTTGAACCAAAACAATAAGCAAACTTTAAATTGAAAACCATATCTGGTTCTTTCATATTTCAAATGTAAAAGTTCTTTGATAGAGAAAATTTCATTTTTCTACATCTGTTTAGATGATATTACAGTGAAAGGCAACATTTGGATCATAGAATATAGTTAGTGAAAATATAAGTGGTGTAAATTTAAGAAGAAATTAGCTTTTCCACTTGAAAATCAGTGATCAGATAAATTCAACATGATTATGGTGACTAAAACAAAAATTCCAAGTATATATGAGAGCTTTTAGTTCTTGTTTGGCACATATATTAATAAATTTTCAAATATCAAACAAATAATATGACACCAATATCTACTAAAAGCAGCTAGCACAATAAGATTCCTAAAGCACATAATTATTAACATCATAAAAACCTAATTCCCATATGATTTCTGTAACTAAGTACACCCTCTGTGCTGTGCAAGCTGGTTCAAGAACCATCTTTTTCAGGATTCCAAGGAATTCCTAAATATTTCAAAGTTAACTCATGCTGAACCCCACAATTCCTTACTGAACTCAGATCTTCTGATAAGGCCTTCATTTATGCAAATATATGCACACACTGATCATAATTTTGAAAAGAATGGAAGCCCTTCATACATGTCAGTTTTTAGTTTTATCCAATCATTAATTTTCTGTAGAGTTGTTTTTTCTTGACTTAATATTTTCGCAAGTTTTTTCATTTTTTCTTCATTTCTTTCTATGTACTTTAACCCCTCCAACTGCAGCTGATCCAGCTTTTCATTTCGACTTTCATCTAGAGGTATGTTTTCGCACATTACAGGATTGAATCTAAAATAGGTGTCAGGAGGTAAGAGACCATCAAGCATCACATGGACTTCTGTTAAAACAGAGGGCAGGGTGGATAAAAAAAATTGAGTTATTCTGCAAAGATCTGGGTTTTTTTAATATGAAATTTTCTTTTAGAGCAAATTACAAAGCCTTTCTTATTTTGTCATCCCAGCTGATTAACAGTAGGAGTAAGGAATCCATTATAATGAATGTAACCACAAAATGAAATTCATCTCCCAAAGTACTGCATGTAATTCTGCTCAGTTAGAATCCATGCTCCAGTACTTAACTCTCCCGTGTTTTGGGTGATCCTGTTGGCCACTTGCTGAGATGCCTTTCCAACTTTCCTATTCTTAATTTTTTGAGATCTTCATTGAGGTACAATTTACCAATTTTAAGTGTGTAACTTGACATACATTTGACAAATGTATAAATATGTGTAATCACAACAATCAAGACCTAGAACACTTCCATCACCCCAAAAAGTTCCTTCATGCCTCTTTAAAGTTGGTACCCTCTTACTTTGCCTTCTGTAGAGTATCATATAAATGTAAGTATATATAGTTCTTCTGCTTCCAGCTTCTTTTACTTAGCAAAATGCTTATGCAATTCATCCGTGTTGATGCATGCATCGATAGTTCCTTCCATTTACTGCTGAGTAGTGCTCCACTGCACAGATCTACCATAGCCTGTTCTCTCCAGTCTGTTTCTCATCAGTTTCTAGCTATTAAGAATAATCCTACTCTAAACATTAACACATAAGCCTTTTTGTTTATATATGATGCCATTTCTCTTGGGCAAATGTCCAGGGATGAAATTGCTGAGTTGTAAGTTATCTTTTTAAGAACTCCAACACTGTTTTCCAAATGGCTGCACCATTTTGCATTCCAAAGATTAATATATTAGAGTTCCCATTACTCCACATCTTTCCCAAAACTTGGTATAGTCAGTCTTAACATCAGCCATTCTCGAGGATGTGCAGTACTCTCTTGTGGCCTTACTTTTCATCTCCTTAATGACTAATGATGTTGAGAAGACTATTGTGTACTTATTAGTCATTATACATCTTCTTCAATGAAGCATCTCCTCAAATATTTTGCCTATGTTTTTTCCACTGAATTTGTTATTTTCTTCTTTATATATTCTTCAGATATATAAGAATTCTCTATATTTTGGATCTGATTATGCTCTGATAATGGATCAGACACATATTTTACTAATACTTTATTTCAGTCTATACAGCTTACCTTTTCATTTTATTAAAAATGTCTTTTGAAGAGTAAAATTTATAACTCGATGGAGCTAATTTATCTGTTTTTCTTTTTTCTTTTTTGGTTTATGCTTTTGGTGTCCTACCTAAAAAATTTTCACCTAGCCCAAGGCCAGTAAGATTTGCTTCTGGGTATTCTTCTAGAAGCTGTAGCTCTTACATTTCAATCTATGATCCATTTCAAGTTAATATTTGTAATGGTGTAATGGGTCAAGATTCAATATTTTTGAATATAGTCATGTTACTGTCCCAGTACTATTTGTTGAAAAGACTATCCTTTCCATAGGTTATTTTTTGGGTTATTTTTGTCAAAAATCTTTTGAGTTTGCACATATAAATCAATTTTTGTATTCTTTATTACATACCATTGACCTATATGTCTATCTTTATGCAAATACCAGAGTCCCTTATTTTCTGTAGTTTTATAGTCTTGAAATCAGAGGGAAAAAGTTCTCTTTGTTCTTTTTCAAAATTATTTTAGCTATTTTAGGCCCACTGGTAGATAATTTTATAGTCATCTTATTAATCTCCACTCCAGAAAAGGCCTGTCTGGATTTTCATAGCAATTGCATGGAGTCTTCAGATCAATTTGTGGTCTGCTACTCTAACAATGTTGATATTTCCAATTCATGAACATGATATATCTATCAATTTACTTAGGCCTTCATTAATTTTTCTCAGCAATGTTTTGTAGTTTTTACTGTTCAGGTCTTGCACATAATAACATAGTTGCTTGAGTATTTAATATTTTGATGCTATTATAAATGATATCTACTCACCTATCTTTATATATATTAAATTTCAATTTCCAATTGTTCATTGGTAGTATGCAGCAATGACTGATTTTTATTGATCTTGTATTCTTTGACCTTGCTAGACTCACTTATTAATCATGTGGCTTTTTTTATAGATTCAATCATATTGCCTATAAATATTTACTTTTTCATTTCTAATCTATATGCCTTTATTTCCTTTTACTGCCTTTCTGAACTGGAAAGGACCTCTATTACAACACTGACTAACAGGAAGAGAGGCATTTCACTCTGTTCCTGATCTAAGCACAAAGCATTCAGTCTTTCACCATTAAATATGATGTTAGCTCTAATTTTTTTTTTTTTTTTGTAGATGCCCTTTATCGGCTAAGGAAGTACCCTTCTTTCCTATCTGCTGAGGGTTTTCATCATGAATGGATGTTGAATTCTGTCTGATGTCTTTTCTATATCTATTGAGATATCATAAATATTTCCTTTTATATGTATATTAATAAGGTGAATTTATTTGATTTCTTGAATGTTAAACCAACCCTGTATTTGTGGGATGAACCCTAATGGTTATGCTGTATGTATCCTTTTCACATATTGCTGAATTCAATTAATTATTATAATTTTAAGGATTTCAGCTTGTATTATCAACAGGGAATCCTGACTGCTATTTTTATGTATTTTTATAATACTTTTGCCTGGTTTTGGTGTCAGGGTAGTGCTGGCTTTCAAGAATAAGCTGGGAAGTGTTTATTCTTCTATTTTCTATACATGTTTGTGTAGAATTGCTGTTAATCTTATCAACTGCATTTTTCAGTTCACATATTGTATTTTTCACCACAAGTTTAATCTGGGTCTTCTTTATATCATCCATTTCTTTCCTTATCATGTTCAAGTCTTCTTCTATCCCAATGAAGATGTAGAATGTATTTATAATAGCTATTGTAATGTCTTTGTCTGCTAATTCTATCATGTTTCATATCTAGGTCTGTTCTCACTGTTTAGATTTTTTTCCTGGTTAATGATGTATTTTCTTCTTTATTTGTATGCCTGGTAATCGTTCACTGGATGTCAAACATTGTGCATTTTTACATCTTTGTGTGCTAGAATTTGGTTGTAGTCCTTTAAATATCATTAGATTTATTTTAATAGTGGATATTGTTAACTGGGGCCAATTTATTCTTTTTGAGGATTGCTTTCAACATTTGTTAAGGATGGTTCCAGAGCAGCCTTTTGTCTAGAACTAATTTTATGCCACTACTGACACAGTACTGCTCTGAGGACTCTACTGCACATCCCATGTATTAACACGGTTTTTCTAATCTGGTCAATGGAAATCTGAGCTACTTTGGGTCCTATGTGAGAGCCAAGCATTGTTCTAATCCTTTCTGGTGGTTCTTTCCTCTGCCTTGGATAGTTTCCTCCCATGCCGGTACAGAGCAGGTGTCCATGGAGGTTCCTCTGTATATCTCTGGAGTACTCTCTCTGTGAAGCTGCCTCCTCTGTGGTATTTTGTCCACAAATTCTAGGTTCCTTGTCTTCCTTGAACTCCAAACTCTGTTTCCTAAATTCTAAGGGACTCTCCTTCTTTTCTAGGTTCCCCCTTCCTTGTACTATAACCTAGAAATTATTTTCTGGTAGCAAGTTGGGCAACAATGATTATTTATTTTCCTTCTCTTAAGGATCACTGCCCTATGCCATCTGTCGTCTAGTGTCTGAAAAACATTGGTTGGTCAATTTTCTAATGGTTTAAATTGAGAGGAAATATATCATGGCCAGAAGTGGAAGTCTTAACCTTCTTTTAAAATGTCCAAACCCTATATATCCTTTAAGACCTGCACCAGGTCTAATTTATTTCTTGTAAATCATCTACAATAATCTAATTTCTCATTCCTTCTCTCAATTCATAATCTTAATCATCTACAACTGTTCACCATTTAGCAATTGATATCATATTAGATTGAATCAAATGAAACTTGCTGTTTTTACAGGTCAACAACCATCTAGTATCAGCAATTATATGTTTCATTCTAATTGTTTCACCTTCTAGAGTGTAAGTACACAGAGGCAGTATTTCACGTTTCTTAAAAATTTCAAATGAACCCATCACATGGTTTACACAAGGTATACTAAAAGTATTATGAGACTAATTAAAGCTATCTTTTTCTAGCAGATTATTTACAGTAAGAGGATTTTACTGATTTGACAGAATTTCAAATAGTCAAAAATCCAGTATGTCAGCTTTTCTTGGTTTCTCATTTAATAGATATAAAAGTCCTTAGTAGGGATTTTAAGATCCTCATGTAGGCTAACGACTAGGCCAATAACATGATGATATGGAAAGAATGAGAGTCAGAAGCAAGGGGCTGCTAAGTGGTTAACAATTCTCTTAAAAATGTAATAACAGGTTTCAAAAAGGACTTAAAAATACAACAGTAAAATAAGGAGTGGCAGACCTCAAAACTAAAACCAGACATTCAACAAATACTCACTGCCTGCCTATTATGTGCCAGGCATTGCAGTCAACACAGTCAACTGGGTAAGTTGGTGCCTTATATTCTTTGGAGTAGAGATAATAAGCAGCTAAAAAAGCAAATATATAATATACACCCATAATGAGATAAATGTTGTAAGAGGGAAAAAAGAGAAAGAAGCAGGATAAGGAGTTAAAGAGAGATGGCCAAAAGAGTTGGAAAATGATCAGAAAAGGTCTCTCTGAGGAAGCGATATCTGAGCAGAGGCCTGAATGAAATGTGAGTGAAGGAAGCATTTTTGGGGAGAGGCCTTACAGAGGGAGAATATGACAACTGCAGAGGCCCTGAGGCAGGAGACTGCCTAGCAAGTTTAATTAAATTGTAGCTGAATATACCTTACTGAGGGGGCACATTTCAAGAGGGGGAAGAGACACATTGAAAGGCTGGGTATTACATGGCCTGGGAAATGTCAGTGATTGAGGCTTTGAAATTTGTTCTAAGTGTGATGGGAAGCCTAAAGGGTTATGAGCAAGGTAAACACATGATTTAATTCACATTTTAAAGGATCTTTTTGGACTTTATATGAAGACTAGATTATAGGGGCAGCAAGAGTGGAAGTAAAGGTTTATTGTAATTCCAGTGTGCCTCCACATTACTAACCAACCTAACTACTAAGCACTCTAATTCTCCCACTGTTACCATGTGTACATTTGAGCCAACCTGGCTCCTTTTCTTTTCCCTCTTTCTTAACTGGCTTTAGAAGTCTCCCAAGAAGCCTCTGTGTTAATCCTGCTTTACATACTTCTCCAGCTGTAAGCAGACAAAGGAAGGAATAGCTCCCAAAGAGAGAACAGTCTCTATTCTAGGGTCACCTGGAACAAATGGGTGAGAAGAAATGGAAGCAACAAAAACTTGCTCCCATGTGCTTCCTAAGCCTGCACTACAGATATAACACACTGTTTTGCAGTTAGCATCAGCATATTCTACTAAACATTGAATTCCAAAAGTTAAAGAGCTTAAAGGAAGCAAATAAACAGACTAACCTTCTGTGTCTGTAGCACTGTTGATGACATTAGATAGTTTGGTTTTCAAGCTTGTATATGTCATGGAGTTTCTCACATCACTCTCATAGCGGCCGGTGCCCAGGGATACTATGCACTCCAGTGGGACATCTGGCCAAAGACATTTACACTCATGCATTGCCAATGCTGAAGGGTTATTCAGAAGCAAACCTCCATCCTGTAAAATGTAAGTCAAAAAAATATAGTACAAAACTCACAGAAGTGGAATTGTGTTTTCAAATATGAAAATAAAAATTTATATTTTAACCATTTAAAATTTACTCACAGGGAGCATTTGTAATGTATATAATTATCAAGGCACTATGTTGTACATCTGAAACCAATATGTTGTATATCAACTACATTTCAAATATAAAAAATTAATTTTAAAAAATTTACTTACAGGGAAAGCTGAACTATGTAATAAACCAAACAAATTATTGAAAAACAAGAGGCTCCTTAAAGGTGAATTTATTTTATATACCACAGCTGCAAAAAAAAATCATGTGAAAACTCACTAACCAAAATTTCCTATTATGAAAGTTTGAGCTTCCTGGATTGCATTGCGTATTTGCTCAAAACTATAAAATGAACTTCATGTGCTGCTTTTTAAAGATACATTATCCTTGTTTGGTGATTACTATAGAGTCTATATAAAAACTAACAAAAGAGTGGTGGTTCTACCAAACTATTAAAACAAATACTTCTTTCACAAGTGAAATATAACCAAATCAACTCAACTAATTTAAGTTGAAATTTTATTAATAATACTTCAAAGTATCGCATTCACTGTAATGCAGATGTAACTTAAACAAAGTAGGCAAACTTGTATTTCTAAGCTTTTATCAATAACTATTATTTTGAAGAATTCAAAATGAAAGAAGGGTAAAATATGTTGATACAGTACTGTGAAAATGTATTCAAATAAAAGTATATAATCAATCTTGCATTCCCAGGTACTAGCATTCAATTTGAAAAGCTGTAAACTGTTAGAAATTATTCCTTTCTAAAAAGCCCAATCTTCCTCCTGTAACCTTTCCCAGTAATTCTAGATTTTGCATTTTGAAGCTATCCAGAATTGGTCATCTTCTAATCCTGTAGCCTAGCCATACATGAATCATTTCAGCTTTTTGGACAAGTCGCATTCCCTTGCCTTCACGTCTTTGCCTATGTTGTCCTCTCACTCAACACGCTCTTTCCCCAGTGCCCTTCTTTACTCAACTAACTCCCAGTTATTCCTCAGAACATGTACCAGGAATCATTTATTATAGCAAGAACCTAGCTGAAATAATGCTAACATATTGAGTAGAAAACAATCTGTTATTATAAAACCTTGCTGAATAGGCTAGCACAGTTTTTAAAAAGTATTTTGAGAAATGTCTTCCATAAGGATAGGAAGAGAAGTACAACCTCAACTGTCATGCAATAATGCATGATATACTCTAAATGAAGGAGCCATTATCACAGTAATTCGAATATTTTCGAGCAAAGATATTTAACAAACCAACTTCTTTTTCTTGTAGAAGATACATTTCTTCAGAATTCTTTTTTAATGCACTAATAGAGTAAAACCAAGGCAATCTAGAATCTTTGGTCACTTTGCATAACAGAGTTTTCCTTGGAGCAGAGTTCATGTGTGTGTGTGTATAAAACTCTGCAATAAGCCATATACTTTTAAAAAAACAATAAAATAATGGCATTTTAATTTTTTCTCAGAGATTCGAGATCGTGGGGGAAAAACACAGATTAGGAATACTGATATTTATAATTCTAATTTCAGCCCTTCTACCTACTAGCCCTTTGGTAGAGGCATAATGACTTTTAAAATAAGGTTTAATTAGATAATTTCTAACATCCCTTCCAGTTCTAAAATTTGCTGATAAGGTGTTTTCTTGAGTATTGACACAAACACACATAATTTAAAATGGGCTCAATGGCAACTTATTTTAGGATTGGCCCTAGAACTTTAAAAAAGTCTTTGTTGAGAGCTTCCTTTTCCAAAAATCTGCAAGTTTCTGATAAAGGTAAAAAGCAGCACACGCAGCAGTGGAAGGATCAGAGACAGACTTCTCCTGAGTGATGTCCCTTCCATGTGGGAGCCACCTACCCACACCACTCCCGGTGCTGTGCTCTCCGGCTTGAGGGCCCATGAAAAACACGAGGCATGACTCGGCCCTACTGAAGTAGACTACTGTTTTAATTTCTCAAAGAATGTGAAGAAGAACCCTTTTTGGGTTCTTCACCCTTTTTGTAAATTTATGCTGTTAATTAGGGGATTTATCTCACAAATCACAGATATCAGTGATAGCTCTTCATTTTAAGCATCACAAAAACAACTTCTTCAAAAATGTGTATCTCCAACAAGACTCTGGTTGGGTCAGATTACACTAGAAGGCAGCAATACAGCAATGTTCCCAAATGGTAACTACATTCCCAGAGAAAGTCAGTTGGCTCTTTAGTTATGAAACAGCCGATCTGAAGCTAATGGTCCTTTATCAGAGCATGTGTCATTCATCCCCGACTGCAGCTTTGGGATACCTCTGGGATAACAGCGATGCACATGGCTGTGGGGACCCTCAGAAAAGCTGTTGTGTCACATTTTCATTGCTTTTTCTATTCTCCATTTGAGGCTGGGTGGTTTGCTACCACTTCCAATCCAATTTCTACCTCCCCTGAGTTGCCAATCTCCACAACTCTCTAACTACATCTCTTCAAAAGAATGTGTCTTATGTTTCCACATCCATGACTTTAATAAAAAGAGGCTATCCTTTTAAAAGATTGTCAACAAGGCACATTATTCCTAGGCCCACCGTATTTCAGGTCTTTGGCTCTTTTCATAAACATCCCTTTGTGGCTGAGATATGCTTACAGACTGTCTCTGAAACCTAAAGATTGCACAAACCAGGTCTGTGAATGGCCCCAGGTCTGGGACAGAAAAAAAGGCGGTGGGGTGGGGCTCGCCTTGTTTGCTGCCTGACAGGCAGGTAGCCTAAGAACAGTGAAGCCCCTCTCACTTTCTAGGCTCAGGAGAAGGGCAATTTGTACCAGGAACAGAATGAGGAAATAGTAGCGCACATGCTAGCACTAAACGTATCATTATCATGGATTCGAAAAACTTAATTCTCAGTGTACACCTTAGTATAATATAGTTAAATGCTATAGTAATATAGTTATTCAGTGTTTCTTTTAGACCATTTTTAGTCTAAATCCACTTGGAAATTCATGTTCTTTAAAGGCCCTGTATATTGGCTTTGTAAAGTCAATCCAGACAGAATAAATCATCATTTCCTCATCACTGTCAACAGCTACCAACCTCCAAATCACTCTTCCTCATTCAACAAATTAGTCAGCACAAGGCTCACCGATTTCCTTTCTGCTCCATGTACGTGGGGTAGAAATTCTTTATGCCACCGCATGTGACTTCACATCTCTACTACAGCTTGGACTCTGATTCCTCAATCCTCTTATTCTCAAAAACTATTCTTTCACCTACTCTCCAAGGTTACACGTTAGCTCTTGTTATAAAAATGAATGGAACCATACAGTATAGTCTTTTAAGTCTGATTTCTTTCACCTAGAATAATGCTCCTGCAATATATTCATGCCACTGCCTATGTAATTCATTCCTTTTTACTGCTGACAATTAGTTCATTATTCAGACGTATCACAGTTTGTTTGCTCATTCATCAGTTTAAATGAAACTATTTCTAAATTTAGTTATCTTTATATATCTGTTAAAATAGGCTAGGTTTTGAATTGTTTAACTTCGTAAAAATATTCTTGAATTCTTTAAATGTATGTAGTAATAATTATTTCCCAAAGGCCTTCTCAAGTACAAATTTGAATTAATCCTTTCAACTTTTTCCTTTGTTTTTCAATTAATAAGATATAAGAATGATACCCATCCCATAATAGAAGTAAAATATTTCATTTCCAATTCAGCAAAAAAGTTCTCTTTTATTAGACTATTTTTATCTCCAATTCTACAGTTATACTCTGTGTAGCTTCTAATCATCTGGGTATTGTAGATGAAACACTTCTTCATTATTATAAAGGCTTATAAAAAGGATCAGAAAAGACAAAAAAGTTAAAGACGGGGAAAATGAAGTTTAGCAAGAATTGACAATAGTAAAATCAATTCCAAATCAAATAGTTGCCAATAGTTTCAATAACCAAGATTGAAAGTAAATTCCTGTTCCTTAAACTTTACCTGATTTCAATAAAAAAAAACACACAAAGAATTTAAGATTTTTGGTATTCACTCTAGTCCAGGGGCGAAGAATACCATCCCTTGTTAAGCTCTGTTTATAGTTAGCTTCCTCTTGTCAAATGCCTCTTCTATTAGTAAGTCATTAGGCTAATGTTAGGTCTATGGTATTTCCTGTAGCCTTGCCATTCATTTAAGTATTCATACTCAAACTTATTTATTTTTTGTGTACTTGGTATTTGCCAGGTACACGTCTAGATGTTGAGGTAAAACAGAGTTGAGAAATGAATTGATTAGATAATTTGCTACTTATCTCTTAGAGGTACACACAGGATTCTGTTTTAACTGCAGTATATCATGAATGTGCTTAATAGCATGAAATGTGGATACTTTTTACTGCTTTTAACATACATTTAATCCTTTCATCAATCAGAGTACCTGCCAGAAAACAGCCAGTGGACAATGCGAATGTCTCCTAATCATCTCATCTTAGCCTTTTATGTTAGGGTTTTAAAAAAAATTTGTTTTTTATTATGGTAAAATATACAAAATACAAATCAGTGGTAATAATTACATACCAATTGTTTTACAACCATCACCACTATCTATTTTCAACAATTTTATCACCCCAAACAGAAACTCTGTGATCATTAAGCAATCATCCTCCTTTCTCCCCTCTCCATCCCATTTCTATCCTAATCAACTATTCATTCTTTATACATCAGCTCAGATGAAAACTTCTTTGTAAAGCCAATCCTGACAGGATAAATCCTATCTTCTACACTACTTAACCATGTAAATATTTTTATTACTTAATTTATCATCTCATTCTACAACAGTGTTTATACAGTCTAGTTTGAGCTATTTGAGGGTGGGATCCAAGAAACACAAACAGCATGCTAGCAGTTATTAAAAACCTTTACATTCTTCAGAGCTAACCTAGTGCTTGGCACTGAGGAAGCACTTACTATATTTCCATCTAGTTATAATGAAAATGATCAGCTGTGACTTGGCATGGGCTGAATTTGGCAGGTGTTAGCTAGGCTCTTTCTGCTAAAAACACTCTTTCCCTAGGAACATTTATATGAAATATAGTAATTCCTTTTAGGCTAATGTATCTTGAGTTCTGAAAATATTCTTTTAAAATGTAATTAAGGTCTAACAGAAATAATATACTAGAATCTGTCATCAAAACCTTTAGTGCAAACTAAACTATTAGGCTTTATCTCTAAAGACAGAGAATGAATGATTTAATTTTGGAGGTGGAGATAGAAAAAGATAAAAGAGAAACAATATGTATATGTCCAAACTCCTCAAATATGTATAAATATGTATATATCAATTATACTGCAATAAAGCTGGCTAAAACAGAGAGAGAGAGAGACAGACAGAGAAAGAGAGAGGAGGGACAATTTTGTATAAAAAGTGCTATTTAAAATAAGTATGATGCAATGTGGGTGGGAGAGAGATGTAATATATTGAAAGCTACTCAAACATAATTCTTCCCAGTTTATAGTTTTCTAGGACATGTAATAAATAAATCTTGTAAATACTATAATAATATTCTTCTCTTTTTAGTCAAAAGCAAATGAAATTTACCCATCTACCTACTCATACCTCTGAATTAAATCACTACATTCAATTAACTGCTCAAATAGAGTATTAATCTATAATTTATACTCTATTTGATTCCAGGGATATGAGGTAACATACTAAAACATATGTCAGACATGACAGTTAAAAGGGCTTTTAAAAATGAAATGAGAAAAAAACTAATAAAATTATTCAAAGAACTTAATAGAGCTGTAATAAGTAAGAACCGTATTTTAGTTTTAAACTTGACAACTTCTGAAAGGGTGGAAAGGGACTTTGCTTGAATGTTTTCTTTGCTTAAGCAATCAAGATTATTCACACCTTGATTATTCTAATCAATCTTTCATGGTGTCTTTTGAGGAGGATAATATCCTACTTTTTCCTTAAGTATATGCAATAAGCAAAATATTTACTTAAACAGGGTTTGCTTAGATTGCAAATTTTATTTGAATATGCTCATTAAGTTAGATGTATCCATCTTTCTGGGGTCAAGTCACTGATGTACATGAAAGTATATTCTCTGAATGTGGTTATATGCTTCACATGAAATTTATATGCAAAGTTATTTTAATCTTAGCTCAATCTAAGTTCAAAGATTATGGTCATCAATATAAAAATGGTTAAGCATGAAAAGAAGTATCACTAGTCTATCTGAAATGGAGAAAGAACTGCTGAATTACTTTTGGCTTGCTATATATATTCTATAGGACTAAATTAAACTTTAGAACTACTTCCTCTTAGATAAAGAATAATTAGCAAATGAAATTAACTTCTTTTGAAGTCTGGGAACATATGGTCCTGAAATGCAGTAACTTGTCATGTGAGACTTTCACTGATACTTGGCATAACTGCAGTTTTGTAGTATAACAACCACTACAAGGCTTTAAATAATAAATCTTAACTACTATATTTTGAATACATTGTTTCAATTATTTCTCCATTTATGCCATAGTGAAAATACTATAAGAATATGGAGAAATAATTGTTAAAAACAGTAAGCTACATATTAAAATAAAAAGCTTATTTCTGACCAATCAATGTCAAAAAGAAATCCTACAGCCAGCACTTTCTGCCCTGAGTGGGTAGAAGAAAGAAGAGAAAAGCAGAAGGGGAAGTGCCTTACATAATTCAACAATGACTGACTTGACAAAGTAAGAAATAGTCTGAATTGACTCCGAAGGCAAAAGGAATCCTATTTTAATCTCTTAACTACAAAGATTATGACATTTCTTCTAGAAAGGTAGAAAGAAAATGGGATAACAAATAGTAACATTTAAAAATACTTCTAAAGCTACTGTATAAAAATATAAAAGAAAATAAGTTGATAAAATGTTTTAGTTATTATAACCCTGACACATGCAAATTAAAATGATATAGTTGATATGTAGCTTATATAGATAGATGCATGACCTTCTGAATATCTGAAAAATCCTTGTCAAAATAGTTTTTTTCCCAATCTGGTACCAAATTAATAAAGAAAGCACACATACTTCATGACTAGAAAGGAAAGTTGAGGTTAATAACACCATCAAAAGAGACTGATTTTTAAATAGGACATCACATGAAAAGGATATATAAAATATATATATTTTTTGGAAGGGGCAACTCAAAAAGGTTATTGACTTTTTTTTATCATTTAGTATAAGTTATGAGTGAAGATTTCCATAAGTAGTGGGAGAAACTTGACAGAGAAAAAGCTTACAATAAATTAATGAGTGTACATACCAGAAAAAGAATTACCAGAAATACTCAATTTTACAGATCACTTTGCCAAAAATTTAAAAACAGCATAATTATAGATAGTATCCTGTCACTTAACAGCTGTGATCCTAGTCCCATTACTTAAACTTTGTTAAGATTCCAATTCCTCATTTGTAAAATGGAAGTAATTCTATCTACCTTGGAAGTAGTGATGATTAAATGAAGTATAGTATGCAAAGGACTATACAAGTGTCTGGCACAAAGCTAACAGTGAATATTTACTATTGTTTTACTATATCCTCTCCTTCAAAAGATGTCCACCAAAACTGTCAAATAGATTGGGTTCTGCATTTTCAGGGACTGTGTTTCTTTTTAATTTTTATCACATTTGGTGGCCAATCATAAATTACTGCTTGATTTTTCTATCAATAAAATTATAAGAATTGCCTATGAGTTACATTATATAACATACAAAAAAATGTCCTAAAATCAAGCCCGAAGACTTAACTAAAAACAAACAAGTGAAATTAATTTACAAGTTAACTTAAAACAGAAACAAACAACAAATACAAATATCTTACTGCATAACTTTTACCACATAGAGACACAAAGAAGAAAATATCCTTGATTGATCCCTTTTTAATTCAGTGACATTTAATACATGCTGATTCCTTTTAATCACATAAAGTTTTAAAAAGATAAGCCTTAAAGTCAACTTACTTGATGAAGATCATTTCCCAGTGCGTACTCTGCAAAGTAGCCTGGAGCAGCGGAGGAGGCTCGGATGGCCTGCCACATTTTGTAGTGACAGCCTCCCAAATAGTGAGAGTTGATTCCAGGAAAATGACCATAGTTTCTGAACACAAAAGCTTTTGGCGTTATCCCTCTGTTTACTATGGTACTCACTGCAGCTACCTAGTGAGTTAAAAAGTGAACAATATCCCACTGTAAGCAGCAATATTTGGTATCAATAGAAATTAAATACTATTTAGTAGTAAGAATGAACAATCTACAACTCTACCCATCAAGATAAATGTGTAACAAAACCCATTAATGTTAAGGGACCAGATCTTTTTAAATAGGTATTTCTTTATGAGAAAATAGATACAAGGGCTGAAATATTTTTGAGAACTGTATTATACAATAATAAAAATCTTTTTGACTACAAGATTTGATTAGCTATTTAAAAATACATCACTAAGACATAAATTTGTAGACCTTTATGTAATAATTGATACAGCAGGAGTAGCAAGGTATAGCAACTACTTAAAGGTGAATAAACTATCTTCGTACCATCATTTGTTTCTGTGCTCTTCGAAAGCATCACAACTTTAGTAACTGAAATTTTTAACATTACACAAACTCTCAAGGCTTTCTGATCACAGTTAATAACTAGTAGCTGGGTAATTATCTTTATAAAGAAGAAGAATGCTGATCACTTTAGGTGTCAGATTTTATTGATGTCAGCTGAATTTATGTAAAATGCACTGTATTTATTAATGATCTTCAATATAAACTTAAGAATCTAAAAGGTATTGATGAGGCCAAAGCTGTTAGGTCCTGTGCTAAGCCCCACCAGGGGCCTGGGTGCTTTATGTTTTATAAGTCAAAGGTTATATCCCCAGTTCCTGTAATCCATGAGTGTCCCTAGGACACTGTGGGTAAGAGTTGGCCATACATGAAAATCTGGAGGGCATTTCTATTAACTGGTATATAGACAGGCTGAATAAGTGTAGGCAGCAGCTCCATTTACCATGACTGAATTATTTTTTTCAGGTGTAAAATTCATTTACTTAAAGTTGGCAACTCTAAAACTTAAAAACAAACAAACAAGAAGCCCTGAAGATACAGGAGAAGAAACAATAGGTGCAGAGTGCATCCTACCATCCTCTCCAAAGAGCTATGTGCATCTCATTTCATGGCCTCAGAGGCTGTGCTGGTCTGATCTACCTCCCACTCCAGCCCTGTGATCCCTGGGCTCCAGTTTCCACGAACTGCATTTCGGTCCCTGAACTTCTCCGTGACTCCTCCTGTAAGGGTGGCTCCCTTTGCCAGGAACACTCCTACTCATCAGCCTTCACACTGAGATCTCTAATCTCATGTCCTGCAAGTACATGCATTCAGAAAACTGTTTTTGTGTTTCATAGTTCTTCTTTCAGGGAAACTATCTCATTTGTGTGATTATTTGATGAAGGCCTACTTTGCCCTATTGGACTATAAACTCCATATCTGCACTTACTCACTAGTGCATCCAATGTGCCTATAGTGCTGGTACACTGGGTGTACAATTAATATCTACAAAATGAATGAAAATATGAATAAGCAAGGGTGAATGAGCAAGAGAGGATGTAGAATTCAATTTTTCATGGTTACAGCTTGTTATCCAAGAGTAAATGTAAGCTCCATGGGATTAAAGATGGCAGCCTAAGAGGTGAGACAGAAACCTCCTCCTAAAACTAAATATAATATAAAAATATAATTAATACAAATAATCCTGAAAGAGCAACAGGAAAGAAGGCTGTGCCAGACTGCATACACCCAGAGAAAAGAACAGACCTCATGGAACAGGGTAGCATACCAAAGCTGTGACCCAAGCCCTTCCCCTACCCCAGCTCACTGGCAGGAGGAAGAGAAACGGAGCACGGATGGAGTGGAGGCCTGAGACTCCTGAACACCCAGCCCTGGAGATCTGCTTTGGGAGCACGAACCTACATTGCATGGTGCTATGGTGATTAGTGGAGTTGGAAAGCTAAGACAGGCAGAATACCTGGAGAGACTGAGATTCCAGCTGCATGTGAAAAACAGGGATCGATATCTGGCTGCTCTGGACAGACAGAATGAGAGACTTCCCAACAGCGAGAGGTCTGCTAAAGGGGCAAGGACAGACAAAAGTGTCTGGGCGCACTCTGCCCAGCAAGTTGGGAACTCTCAGGAGCTTCAGGTACTCCATCCCCCTGGCTGGATATGCTGCTCCAAGGCCCCCCACCATGATACGCAGCCTGCTGTGCCTTCCTCCCCACCAGCCTGCATCTGGCTTGCAAACCCTGCCCTGGCATCAGAACAGCCGGAGGGAAGCCCTGTCTATAGCAGCTACAAATTCAAAGCATAGAGGCTTACACATGTGTGTTTGGCCCACTGGTTGTGGCAGTGGAGACAGGTATAGCAGCTGGGAAGCAGAAAACAGCTCTTTCCTCCCCCCAGGCACCAGCACTGCGCCCCTGCGACCCCTGACATCGCTCCAGGGGCTAAGCAGCTCCAGAGAGTAGAGCTTCTGGGCACTAGTGGGTGCCACATACAAATATGAAATGTCAAAGGAACCTGGTTCAAACAAACATCTCACAAACACCAGAAAAAGTATCAAGTGAGACTGAACTAACCAATCTTCCTGAGATTTCAAAATAAAAATCATAAACATGCTACTGTAGGTACAGAAAAATATTCAAGAACTCAGGGATGAATTTAGGGCAGAGATCTAATCATTAAGAAACACAATGGAGAGTTTTAAAAGAAGATTAGATACAGTGGAGGAGACAATAAATGAAACAAATTAGAGAAGAGGAAAGCTGAAGCACAGAGAGAAAAAAGGATCTCTAAGAATGAACGAATATTGAGAGAACAGTGTGACCAATCCAAATGGTACAATATTCATATTACAGGGGTACCAGAAGAAGAGAGAGAAAAAGGGATAGAAAGTGTCTTTGAGGAGGTTAATTGCTGAAAACTTCCCCAATCTAGGGAAGGAAAGAGTCTCTCAGGCCACAGAGGTGCACAGATCTCCCAACACAAAGGACCCAAGGAAGACAACAACAAGACACATAATAATAAAAATGGCAAAGATCTAGGATAAGGACAGACTATTAAAAGCAGCCAAAGAGAGAAAAAATATCACACACAAAGGAAAGCCCATCAGGCTATCATCAGACTTCTCAGCAGAAACCTTACAGGCCAGAAGGGAGTGGCATGATGTACCTCAAACCAAGAATACTCCATCTAGCAAGATTATCATTTAAATTTGAAGGAGGAATTAAACAATTTCGAGATAAGCAAAAACTGAGAGAACTTAACTCCCACAAACTGTCTCGACAGTGCATTTTAGAGAAGTTTTCCTAAGGTTTAATAGCTATCACCAGAGGTAATAAAACCACAGAAAAGAAAGTGGAACAGCTAATTAATAAGCAAATACAAAATTAAATCAACTACCCCCTAAGTCAGTCAAGGGATAGACAAAGAATAGAGAATATGATACTTAATATACAAAGAATGGAGGAAGAAGAAAAAGGAAAAAAAATAAAAGAACCTTTAGATTGTGTTTATACAGCATAATAAGAGAGTTAAGTTAGATGGTTAGATAGTAAAGAAGCTACCCTTGAACCTTTGGTAACCACGAATCCAAAGCCTGCAATGGCAATAAGTACATATCTATCAATAATCACCCTAAATGTAAATGGACTGAATGCACCAATCAAAAGACACACAGTAACAGAATGGAAAAAGAAAGATCCATTTATATGCTGCTTACAAGATACTCACCTCAAACCCAAAGATATGCACAGACAAAAGTGAAGGGATGGAAAAATATATTTCATGCAAACAATAGGGAGAAAAAAGCAGGTGTTGCAGTACTTGTATCAGACAAAATCGACTTCAAAACAAAGAAAGAAACAAGAGATAAAGAAGGACATTACATAATGATGAAGGGGTCAGTCCAACAAGAGGACATAACCATTATAAATATATATGCACCCAACACAGCAGCACCAACATATGTGAAACAAATACTAACATAATTAAAGGAGGAAATAGAATGCAATGCATTCATTTTAGGAGACTTCAACACACCACTCACTCCAACACTCCAAAGGACAGATCAACCAGACAGAAAATAAGTAAGGAGACAGAGGTACTGAACAACACTTTAAAGCAGATGGACCTAACGGACATCTACAGAACTCTACACCCAAAAGCAGCAGGATACACATTCCTCTCAAGTGCATATAGAACACTTTTCAAGAATAGATCATATAGTAGGCCACAAAAAGAGCCTCAGTAAATTCAAAATTATTGAAATTGTACCAACCAGCTTCCCAGACCACAAAGGTATGAAACTAGGAATAAATTATGTAAAGAAAACAAAAAAGCCCACAAACACACGGAGGCTTAACAACATGCTCCTAAACAACCAATGGATCAATGACCAAATAAAAACAGAGATCAAGCAATATATGGAGACAAATGAAAACAATAATTCAACACTGCAAAATATGTGAGACACAGTGAAGGCCGTGCTAAGACAGAAGTATACTGCAATGCAGGACTATCTCAGGAAAGAAGAATAATCCCATATTAACAGTCTAAACTCACAATTAACGAAACTAGAGAAAGAAAAACAAATGAGGCCCAAAGTCAGTAGAAGGAGGGACATAATAAAGATTAGAGCAGAAATAAATAAAATCAAGAAGAATAAAACAATAGAAAGAATCAATGAAAGCAAGAGCTGGTTCTTTGAGAAAACAAACAAAATAGATAAACCCCTACCCAGACTTATCAAGAAAAAAAGACAGACACATACACAGAATCAAAAATGAGAAAGGAAAAATCATTATGGACACCACAGAAATACAAAGAATTATTACAGAATACTATGAAAAATTATAAGCTAACAAACTGGATAACCTAGAAGAAATGGAAAACTTTCTAGAAAAATACAACCTTCCAAGACTGACCCAGGAAGAAACAGAAAATCTGAACAGACCAATTACTAGCAACGAAACTGATCTGGTAAACAAAAACTACCTAAGAACAAAATCCCTGAACCAGATGGCTTCCCACTGAATTTTATCAAACATTTAATGAAGAGCTAATACCCATTCTTCTTAAAGTTTTCCAAAAAGTAGAAGAGAAGGGAATACTCCCAAACTCATTCTATGAGGCCAGCATCACCCTAATACCAAAACCAGACAAAGACACCACAAAAAAAGAAAATTACAGACCAATATCCCTGACGCACATAGATACAAAAATACTCAACAAAACATTAGCAAACTGAATTCAAAAATACATCAAAAAGATCATCCATCATGATCAAGTAGGATTTATTCCCGGGATGCAAGGATGGTACAACATTCAAAAATCTATCAACATCACCCACCACATAAACAAAAAGGACAAAAAGCACATGATCATCTCCCTGGACGCTGAAAAAGCATTTGACAAAATTCAACATCCATTCATGATAAAAACTCTCAACAAAACGGGTACAGAGGGCAAGTACCTCAACATAATAAAGGCCATATATGACAAACCCACAGCCAACATCATACTTAACAGTGAGAAGCTGAAAGCCTTTCCTTTAACATCAGGAAGAAGACAAGGATGCCCACTCTCCCCACTTTTATTCAGCATAGTTCTGGAGGTCCTAGCCATGGCAATCAGAAAACACAAACATATAAAAGGTACCCAGAGTGGCTAGGAGGAAGTTAAACTGTCCCTGTTTGCAGATGACATGATATTGTACATGAAAATCCCTAAAGAATCCACTCCAAAACAACTAGATCTAATATCTGAATTCAGCAGAGTTGCAGGATATAAAATTAATACACAGAAATCTGTTGCATTCCTTTACACTAACAATGAACTCTCAGAAAGAAAAATCAGGAAAACAATTCCATTCACAGTTGCATCAAAAATAATAAAATACCTAGGAATTAACCTAACCAAGGAAGTGAAAGACCTGTACTCTGAAAACTACAGGACACTAATAAGAGAAATTAAAGAAGATACAAATAAATGGAAAAACATCCATGTTCATGGATAGGAAGAATTAATATTGTCAAAATGCCCATCCAGCCTAAAGCAATCTACAGATTCAATGCAATCCTATCAAAATACCAACAGCATTCTTCAACGAACTAGAACAAATAGGTCTTAAATTCATATGGAAGCTCAAAAGATCCCGAATAGTCCAAGCAATCCTGAGAAGGAAGAATAAAGCTGGGGGTTTATGCTCCCCAACTTCAAGCTCTACTACAAAGCCACAGTAATCAAGACAATTTGGTACTGGCAGAAGAACAGACCCATAGACCAATGGAACAGACTAGAGAGCCCAGATATAAACCCAAGTATATATGGTCAATTAATATATGATAAAGGAGCCATGGACATACAATGGGGAAATGACAGCCTCTTCAACAACTCGTGTTGGCAAAAGTGGACAGCTACATGCAAGAGAATGAAACTGGACTATTGTCTATCCCCATACACAAAAGTAAACTTGAAATGGATCAAAGACCTGAATGTAAGTCATGAAACCATAAAACTCTTAGAAGACAACATAGGCAAAAATCTCCTGAATATAAACATGAGCAACTTTTTCCTGAACACATCTCCTCGAGCAAGTGAAACAAAAGCAAAAATGAACACATGGGACTACATCAAGCTAAAAAGCTTCTGTATGGCAAAGGACACCATCAACAGAACAAAAAGGCATCCTACAGTATGGAAGAATATATTTGTAAATAACATATCCAATAAGGGGTTAACATCCAAAATATATAAAGAACTCACATGCCTCAACACTCAAAAAGCAAATAACCTGATTTAAAAATGGGTGGAGGATATGAAGAGACAATTCTCCAAAGAAGAAATTCAGATGGCCAACAGGCACATGAAAAGATGCTCCACATCACTAATCATCAGGGAAATGCAAATAAAAACCACAATGAGCTATCACCTCACACCAGTAAGGATGGCCAGTATCGAAAGGACTAAGAACAACAAATGCTGGTGAGGATGCAGAGAAAGGGGAACCTCCTACACAGCTGGTGGGAATGTGAACTAGTTCAACCATTGTGGAAAGCAGTATGGAGGTTCCTTAAAAAACTAAAAGTAGAAATACCATTTGACCTGAGAATTCCACTCCTTGCAATCTACCCAAAGAATATAATTTCTCAGATTCAAAAAGACATATGCACCCCTATGCTTATCGCAGCACTATTTACAACAGCCAAAATATGGAAGCAACCTAAGTGTTCAACAGTAGATGAACGGATAAAAAAGATGTGGTACATACACACAATGGAATATTATTCAGCCATAAGAAGAAAACAAATCCTACCATTTGCAATGACATGGATGGAGCTAGAGGGTATTATGCTCAGTGAAATAAGCCAGGCGGAAAAAGACATGTATCAAATGATTTCACTCATACATGGAGTATAAGAACAAAGAAAAACTGAAGCAACAAAAATAGCAGCAGACTCACAGAACCCAAGAATGGACTAACAGTTACAAAACGGAAAGGGACTGGGGAGAATGGGGGAAAAGGGAGGGACAAAGGGGAAAAAAGGGCATTATGATTAGCACACATAATGTAGGGGGGGCACAGGGAGGGTGGTACAATGCAGAGAAGACAAGTAGTGATTCTATAGCATCTTACTACACTGATGGACAGTGACTGTAATGGGGTATGTTGTGGGGACTTGATGATGGGGAGAGTCTAGTAACCATAATGTTGCTCATGTAACTAGATTAATGATACAAAAAAAAGTAATATAACCTTAAAAAAAAAGAAACTGAGTAACTCTTATAATATAATAATTCTTCATTATTTTTAGTCCCAGTCTTTCATTTTCTTAAACTTTTGTTATGTTTTTACTGGATATAGAAAAGGTCTAATGACCACATCCTGAATCTTCATAGACTGATCCAATATATAAGTAATCAATATAATCTATTAGAAGAATTTCCTGATAAATGTCTCAAGGGCCTTCAGAGTAAGTACTTTCATCTGATCTTCAATCCCAACTGGTGTTTCATTTAAGAGACTCAAAACTTACCTTAGGACACGTGGGGTTTCTTGCTGTTTCAATCATTAGTGAGGATCCCATTCTATCCCTTTATTAAAGAAGAAAAATTTTAACAAAATCATTTTATTTCCTCACATCAGGGAACATACATTATGCAATTACTGTTTGCCCATGGCTCTGTCAAACTGCTACAAGGGACAAATAAGAAGCAGAAGAATCTCCTCTAGGAGGCTCATAATCCAATAAATGCATGTGAAACAATATGCAGTTGTTAATATCTGATTCAAACTGCAAGTATCTACAGTTCTGAGGGGGGCAATCAATATGGGCTGCAGTATCAGGGGAAGATGCATGAGGTACAGTTTAAGACAACATGAAAAGATGGCAAAGCAACTTATTCAAAGCCAGAATATATACAGGGGAAAGGCAGAGAGGCAGAATAAATCTGTCGTTTTCAGGGTCCTCCTGACAGGAAAAAGGAGCTGTGTTAAGACTGCAGAAAAAAGGGTAGATAAGTTACAAAGTAATCTAAAAACCAGACCAGAACATTCAGACTTTAAGCAATACGGAATCAAAGTCACTCCCCAAAAACGATCTTTTTAAATCATCTGAATTGGCATTTGAATTACTGCAATATGACAGAAGTTGTCCTTGGACAGCAACTTTCACAATTCCACTATAAGGGTATTTCATTTCAACGAACAGATTTTTTCCAGGCTTAAAAACTATTTATTGTTCCTCTGTATTGAATATAAAGGATATGTTTTTCACCAACTGGGCTTAATAAGAAAAAACATTTTTCTAATGACATTTTTTAAACAATATTGTTTCTCAACTAGAATATCATATAATCACATGAGGGCAGTATTTACAAATTAGGAATGATGTACCCTTTAAAATCTTTTATAAATATCAATGTAAAATACTTTCTAAAACAGACAAGATCCTTGTCTTTCCCAACCTGACCTATGTGTTTCTTCAGTAGGAAGATCAACGCAACTTTATTCTCCTAAGGATCTTTCACTTTATCTTTTATAGGAATCTTGCTGTAAAATTGGGACAGAGATCCTGGGAACATGCTACTTATATACTGTAAGAAATCTTCACATTTATTTTTTGTTTCAATGTTTATTTTATAAAAAGTTAAAAATTCTTTAGTGAATTAAGTAATGAATATAAATTTGAAGAGAAAGTCAAGAACATTAATTGCTTTACAGAGATGTCAAAATATGAAAAAATTCTCAACATTCCTAGATCCTACCAATGCTATAATTAAAAAGTGTCCCTAAAATACAAAATCATTATTACAGGCTCCAATGACTCATACTTCCTGATATCCATATCCTTGTATATATAGTCCCTTCCCACACAGACCCTGGGTTTGAGTGGCTTTGGTCAATGTGACATCAGCAAACATGCCATTAAACTGAAGCTTGATAAATACTTAAGCACTGGGGCTTGCCCTCTTGGAACTCTGAGGCCCCCAATGTGGGACGCAGTCCAGAACGAGAGGGACCATGTGGAGACAGAGACCAGCTGTCCCAGCCACCTCGGCTGAGCTCCCTGCTGCCAGTAGCCATGTGAGTCAGTTTAGACCCAAAAAATGGCCAGTGAAAACACAGAATCGTGAAACTAAATCATTGTTTGAAACCACTAAGGTTTGTAGTGGTTTGTTTTATAGCAAAAACTGAGTGAAAAAGTAGGGAAAAATAAGATAAAAACAACCAAGCATACTCAGAAAGTTTATCAATCCTGTGACTAAAAATAAAGGAGCCTTTGAAGGAACATCAGTGAAATAGTAATATGCAAATACACGAAGATACTCTAATGAGTAAAAAAAGGGAAAAAAACAGTTCATAGCAGAGAAACTGGATTTACAGTAAATTTTCAAATCCTCATTAAAAAACTTAACCGTTGTTATTTTATGATTTAATGAGAATTGATATAGATTACTGTTTTTCTAATAGACACGAAAGAAGACCCCAAAATAAACAAACATACAATATTAATGGATGGGAAGACTGCTCAATTGGAAAGATGTCAATATTAAAAAATAACTGCTACATTTCATGTAATTTCAATCAAAGTTATCAAAGGGATTTACTTTCATCTAACAAAAGTAACCTAAGATTCACTCTGCAGATTAAGTGAAAACAGTGAAAAGGAAAAAGAATAAGGAAAAAAAGACTTGCTATGTTAGTATAAAAACATTATGCAATAGTTCAATAACTGAAACAAGTTGGGACAAAAACTTTGAAAGTCAATATAGAAAGACAAAATCTTGGACATAGACTCTGATATAAATAAGAATTTAAAATATGGTAAAATTGGCATTTCAAATTAGTGAAAAATGGAAAAAGCACTTGGTAAAAAGTACAGGGACATTTGAATTCTTATTTGAAAAAAAAGTTTAACCCCCTTTCAATTACACAAAAAAAATCTCAGATGACCTAAATTCTAAAAATTGAAGTGTTTGACATTAAATATTTCATGAAATGGAAATAAAAGTTGATTCTGGTGGGTAAGTTGGTACAACTGTTTTGAAGAACAATTCAAACATTTATAGACATACATAGCTCATGATTAAAACATATATACTCTCTGTCCCAAAATTTTACTCTAGAAATTTACCTTAAAGACATAATCAGAGATTTATATAGAGATGTAGGATGCCCATCTGGACATTATATTGAACTTTAAAAATACCTGAAATATTTTCCTTTTCCAATAGGAAATTTGTTAAATAAAAATAGTGCATCCATAAAAATGGAGTAGTGAAACCATTAAAACACGTCTCAAAAAATACTTAATGACATACAAAAATCATCCATGGTAAAATGCTCTGAAAATTATCATGTGCATTATCATCCCAATTTTGTGATGGGTATAATACATACACAGACACTCACAACCCCCTGCCCCCATACTTATTTACCTGTAAGGAATTATAGAAAAAAAGCACATCACCATATAAATAGTGTTTTTGTTCTTAGTGGGATTATAAATTATCTTCCTCATTATCTATGATGATTATTTTTTAAGGTATCAACAATGACTCAACAATTATGTTTCTTATAAACTGATCTACATATATATTTATTCTGAAATGTGAGCAGAAAATTACATTTTTGTACAATAGCATTGTTCATAATCACAAAAAATTAGGAACAATATAGATGTCCTAAATGTAAACAGTTAAGAAAATATGATACCATCACACTCTGGAATGTAGCATAACTCTGTTTTATAGAGATTTGTCAAGAGATTTTAATAAAGTTGAAAAAAAAGGGAAAAGTTATAAAATTATAATTGTAACAATTTCTGCCATATAAAATATATATAGAAAAAATTAGAAGGTAATTGCAATGTCTATAGCTCTGAGTAATAAGATTGTGGGTGATTTTAAGATTTTTACTTTATGCTTATATTTTTTAAAGTGAGTACAATGGCTTTGTGTATTTTGGAAAAAATGTCTTAACATCATTAAATGTTTAAGAAGACTATCTGCTAATGACTTAAGAAAGACTATATATGTAAGTAGAAATAACAGGATGCAAGCAAACATGTTATCTATACACAATTTGGTCTCAATTTTTAAAAAGGCAACTTTTATATGCAAATCTCACATACATGAACCCAAGAAAATAGTGACTAGAATATGATTCACCAAATATTAACAGTGGCTATCTCCAACTAGTGGGGTCAATAACTGAATATTGTTCTTTACATTTTTCTGCATTTTTCAAATTATCATATGCATATATTACCTTAATCAAACCATTTTAAAAAAAGAATAGTTTTAACTTACTTAAGAATATTTTCCCATGTGTGACTGTCATAAAATGCATGGCTCCAACTCATTTTTACTGTTCCAACAATAACATTTTGTGAAAACACATCGGATCCTAATCTTCGATAAAGATCCTCACATTCATCCAGGGGCATATGAAACAATCCCAACATGAATGCTAATATAGCACCTGAAAGAAAGAATCCTTAGTTTTTATCAGCACTGACATTATAGTACTTAAAAATCTAAATAACAAGCCTGGTTAAAATTCTAGCTTTGACACTTTCCAACTGTGTCACCTGGGACAAACTACTAAATCTCTCAGAGCTCCAATTTTTTCATCTATAAAATAAAGATAACAATTAAAATATATAAGGCTCTTATACTGGGATAACACATTTAAAGTGCCTTATCAGGCATCAGTAAGGGTTTAATTAATGCTAACCAATGATGATGATGATAATTTTTAAATATACAAAAATGCATGTTTAAATTAAATTAAAATATATATAATTAAGATATTCTAGTAGATATTATCCTTTCCAACCTTAATAAATTTCTTAGTTTTAGTCACAGAATACAGCATATTTGACAACTTCTCAATTCATTAAAATAATTACTTCTTCAGGTTGGTCCTGGGAACCAATGCAATTAAAGAAATTAGGTCTCCAGCACATCCTTTTATTTATTTTTATTTTTTTAATAGCTGCTTGCATATCCTAGCTGCGAATGGTAGGGCACACTGCCACCTAGTGTACCTAATTGGTCTAAGCCTGAACTAAAGAGAAAAAGGTGGGGAGAAGGCTTTGTGTATGGGGAGAGGGTAGGTAGGAAGGACACAGTGAAGATAGGTATAGTGTCACTGCTCTCTTTGAAATTGCTATCAAATACCCAGGAAATCACCATCATAATGCATTTTAACTACTTCATGTATTTTATTATATTTGGTTTTATTCTAGTAAAAGATGGACAGCGTGTTTTAAAAAACACTGTATGGCATAACTATATGCTGTACAATAGAAATTGTTGTATTTCAATTTGCAGAAAATGTCTAATTAATTCAAGAAACAACTTGCCAAAAAATTAAGTTCTTTTCAAGCAGAGCTACTATAAAGAGCAAATATTTTAAAAATGAATGTTATTTAACTGGTAAGGACATTACCCTTAAGCTAGATACATATTTATTAACTTTATAAAAATTTTAAGTGCAAACAAAATTTGTTAGAGTATACAAAATGGAAAAAAAAGGAAGGAAGATTATAAGCAAATTATAAGCAATAAACTGTAGGTTAAAGTTCATATAAGCTACAAGACACAATGGAAAAGATATATATACTCTGACAAATACAGAAAGGTATATATACTGAAACTGATATTCTACTCCACGGATGAATCTCTATGATTTAAAATTCTCTTTATTGAGCACCCACCTATTAACAATGGCATCAAAGCAAGAAGTTAGCTTGTAGATATGTTTATATGTTTGAACTGCTAAGACCATTAGAAATGCTCAGGGTAAGAGCAACAAAGAAAGTACCAAAGAACACTAGCCCTGGGAAATGTCTCTTTAAGAAAAGTTTCCATAGTTAAATGAATTAGGATACATATTGTTTTCCTATCCTGAGAGTCAAAATGCATTTTTACCATACGAGAAGATGTCAGAAGTCCCTCTAAAGAAACCTGTTAAACTTCCCTTCCCCAACACTCCCCAAATCTGCTGACATCCTGGGGAAGCAGTGTTGCTGAAACATCCGGAATCAGATTCCTTACGCTCTGGAATCACCCCTGTAACTGCTCTCATGAAGTTTTTGTGACTGAACATGGGCTAACATGCCCTCTGGGAGTACTGGTCAGACTTGACACTGTTAATGTACAGAAATCACTGGATTCTGTTGCTAATGGTTTTAGAACTATTGTTCTAATTCAAAAGAATGAGAAAAAGAAATAGAAATAAAAGCGATGAAGATAAGCTAATGTAAAATAAGAACTTATCAGGTCAAACAGTAAAATATGCAGGAAGGATCTATAATCTTAATAGTCTTTGAATGTTATCTGGGGAGTAAGCAGTACCGACCAGTATCCCGAGAGGTTTAATGTACACATGGGAGGGGGAACGCAGGACGGCAGATAGGGGAGGGAGATGATGTAAAGAAACTGGAAAACAAAACAAAACAAAAATTCATCTGCTGTTGACTCAACAAAAACTAAGATATTATTCAGTAACAATCATATTCTAAGCTGTCAATTTCCTCTGTAAAAACATGAAACTACAATTTTAAATGTATACCAACTAGCATTATTTAAAAACAGTCTGTAAAAAGCATATTCTCACATTTATCAATTTAAATTCTGGCTTCAAGCAATCAGATAAAAAAATGATATAAGAAGCAATATCCACACAGAGGGACATGTCTCACAGAAAAGTAAATCCTTATCCATCTTCATGTCTGGGTCAAAGACAGTTTGAATACCTCCTATCCTGTATCATAAAGCAATAATTCATAATTTATACTTGTCACTGTGTCTTATTTAAAACATATTTAGAAAGGTACATTTAAAAACTACTTTTTAAAACTTGAAGATTAGTTGATATACAGTATTAGATTGGTTTCAGGTGTATAACATAGTGATCTGACAGTTATCTATACTGCCAAATGCTCACTCCGATAAGTGTAGTCACCATCTGTCAACATACAAAGATATTACAATATTACTGACTATACTGTCTATGCTGTACTTTCATCCCTGTGACGAACTTATAAATGGAATTTTGTGCCTCTTTATCCTCTTCACCTAGTGCACCAACCCCCCAAAAACTACTTCTGAATGTTAACTTATTCCCAATAAACATTTTTAAAAATTAATTAAGCAAACCAAAGGATTACTCATCATCAAAACATGGAACTAATTAATACTCATCATTTCAGGGTATGACCAGATCTTCAACCTAAGTGCTTAATGTTCTTTTTCTTATTGCAGTCCTGGGATGTACCACTTCTAAATAGTAATAATTACCTGTGCTTACACCACAAATGTAATCAAAAAGCTGATGAACTGGCTTCTTAGTAAGTTCAACTAATTTACGTAGTGTCTGAAGAGCAACCACACCCCTGTAGAAGAGATAAAAGGTGAAATGAGAATTCCTGCTTTAAAGAAAGTCACTGAATAAACAATCCTACAAATTGCTTTTCTAGCTTATAATCCAACATGAAAACTAATCATATAAATTAGCATCAGCAAAAATTGCCTAAATTTTTAAGATCACTTTCTAAAATATAGTATCTCAATAATGACATAGAACCTGTATTATGGCAACACATTTATGAATGTATACTAGCATCTTAAATAAGACTGTGAAGACATGTCAATACAAGATTTATTTTTAAACACCCCAACCATTGAAAATACATAAAAATCCAAACTCACCAGTTTTGAGATGCTATATATTGGTTTTTTCTCTTACCTATGTATTTGATAATCTATGTTTCAATACATTTTTTATTTAATATTCCACTAGCAGTATTTTTAAGCTTTTGTTTATTTTTTAAAAACTCAACCTTAGGACAATGATTTGCATAAAGGATGTATTAATTTATGTTGATGACTTTGTTCACTGCTGGTTTGCTGGTTTCTTGACAAAGACAGCAAATAGCTTCACGATGAGTGTGAAAGATGAAATCATCTAGGAGGTGCAGCCAACTCAGCGTGTGTGTCACCTGGGGACAATTCTCAACACTGGGAATATGCAGAAACAATGAAATGTTCTAAGTTGTGGGACAGACAAGTCCTGAATGGTAACCACACAAAATAAAATTTTAAATATCAAATTTTGCTTTGATATTGCTAACAGGAAGTCACTAGAAAATATTGTAAAGTTAAAGTAGAAAACCAAAGATGCTGACCTTTTTTAATTGTACCAAGTAATGTGGATTTGAAGAAAGGTAACAGAAGACGAGATGGCTTATAAGAGAAATACATTACGAATTCAGGTGAGACATGAAGAATTAAAGACAATGCTGGATAAAAATTTCAACAATGTGACCTCTATTACTTATAAAATAGGAAATAAAACATGCATACACATTTCACACTGATAAAAATATATGAAAAAAATAAAAGTCTTAAAAATAATCTAGAAATTGTGAGCTTATGGTTTGTTTTGGTTTTCTTCATATTTTTCTTTTCCTTTATACCAAGTTTTACTTGTATAATCAGGAAGAAAACTACCTTAAAATTCTGTATTTATAAATTAATTCAGGACAAATTTAAAGATTAATACACTTTCCATGTTGAGACTACATGCCTAATGCTGTACCAGGCTCTTGTATACAAAAGAAATAAAAGACAGATGTTCTTTTCCTTATAAGCCCTTCTGGCATTATTTCACTTTCTCAGGAATATCCAAAAGATCGTATAAGACTTCTCTCCTCAATCAATTCTATCTTCATTTGCATGGTACTACTGCATGGATATGTAAAGCCTTATCATCAACATGTCCGAAACAAAACCATCTTTCTCACCAATCACATCCTTCCCTGTCCCTGCAATTCGGTCTCAGTCATCCACAGGGTTTATGCTTAAGAGTGATTTCAGTCTATTTCTACCATATATAGTTTCCCTTCTCCTTCAAAATTTTCATGTATATTTTTCTTTCCTCCAGCTCCCTACTGCCACCATCTGAGGTTAGTATTTTACTGTCCTCTGCCTAGATTATTAAGGAGTCTCCTTTTATCACTCACTCCTTCACTGACACTGGTGTCAAAATTTAAAGGACTTGGCTGAAATTGAAGACTGTAGAATTAACAGAAAGGAAAGGCAGTACTTGGACATGCAGAAGAGTGATCAGCAAGGCAAGTGTACCAGAGAGTGAATTGGTGAGGTAAATCAGAGCTAGGAGCAACAGGCAGGGCATGTACTATCCATCTAAGAGTAGGAGTAGAGACGGCAGGGAGCTGGCACCCGCACTAGGAAATGTGGGGAAAAAGGTTCGTGATAGCAAGCCAAAGAATCTAACTAAGAAGTAGGAAGGAACTAAACAAACTAGGACAGAATAAGAAGTATGGATGAATTGCCAGTAGTAGAATGGAGCTTGATGGTGAAATTATCTCCTACCGAGCTAAGAAGACATTAAGTATTTCTGGGGTAGCACCAGAATTCTCAGCTGCAAGTGAAGATGTAAGAAGTCAGGAAGTTACTGATATAGACTTCTCTTAAACCGCCACTTTATTGACTAGTTGACCAATACATTTAGGTTTATCTTACCTTAATCTATATAATAAAAGAAAGCAAACATTACAAAACATTGCTAAGATTTTAAAAGAATCAAGGTTAATAAACTGTCCTAAACTATTGAACAGATATGAAAAGACAAAACTAAAACATAAATACCAGATCAAATTAAAGTAAAAGGCAATTTGGGTAAGATGTTAAAGAAGGTCTAGACTGATCCAGTAAATTAATAACTATTTCATGTTTTATTTTAAAAATTTGATTTTATAATGATACAATTACACTGAATCAGTTTAAAAATTCCTAGGGTTGATTTAGATCTATAGTTTAAAAAAAATCATTTTCTAGTCTTACCTCGTTCCTCCACCATCAATTGTGAGAATTCGAATTCCTCTCCCTTTTACTGGATCCACATAGCCAATTAAAGCCAAAATTTCTCTAACTGCAGCCTGAAGAGTTTCATCCTTAATTTGTCTCAATCGCAATAAATACGGAATAATTTTTTCCTATATTGAGAGAAATATATTTTGTTGCTTTTGTCAAATCAAGAGTGAAAATGTAGTTATTTTCCTCCAACCATGTAGATCATCACATATAATCAAGGTGCCAGTTTTTATTACTTCCTCAGTACTCTTAAGTGATAAGATTAGTTTCTGACATTGTGATGTCAAATAACATTTAGAGTATAGCTGCCCTAATATCTAGAAAACCTCTATCCAAATCTTTTCTTTAAAAGGTACAATGATTAATGAAAACTTGGGAAATGTTAATGTAACAAAAAAGGTTAACATTATAAAGTTGATACAATATTTCATCCAAATCCTACATTAAGAAGATGAAACTGCTTCACAGTAATTATTGGAAATTAAACTTATTAAAAGAAAAAATAAACCATCTTTTGTACATTGCAGATAGGATAAAGGGGTAGCTCACAGTGAGCATGAACAAATGTTAATTAATAAATAAAGCTAAGGTGGAAAGCAAAACCTTACACTTACAATTAAATTGTTTAAACAAACCTGGGACTCCAAGACTCTACTTCATATTATTGTTCAACTTTATACTACTGGTAAGAGGTAAAAGCTTAAATTAAATGCTAGGCGTCTATGCTGAGTTTACCAAAGATTTTCTAGATTCTTTACACAGAAGCATGTTATCTGGTCAGTACTCCAGGTAAGGGCATAATCGAGTGACAGCTATATTTGTGCTGTGTAACCTTCTGTAAATCAAGTAATTTCCAATGTATCACTCATTTTGTTTCTTTTTTTATGATAAATCAAATCTGACATACTACTGTTTTAAATTCCATTTTTGTTCAATCCCTTCCCCGAACCCCACCCGGGCTGTGTTGAGCTCCAAAGTTCCACTAGAGGAACCTGAACAATGGTAGAGATGGAAATGTAAATTTCCATCTCTGGTTAGGCTAGAATGGTCTCTTTCCAAGATCAGAAAAGTTTGACAAAATACAAAAAAAAGTGCCATCTGTTTAAAAGCATCAGAGAGCTTCTGAAGCAGTGAGGACAGGAGGGGCTAAGAATCTAGAGAAGGGTTAACTGCTGGGAAGTGAGCTCCTAACTACAGCTTTTCCTCCCTTGAGACATTTGCTGCTTTGGGGAAGAAATGAAGGACTGAAAAAATGGGGTTGGCTCAAACAGAGGGCCATGGATGAAAAACAGAGAAACCAGCTGAACATTCCGAGTCTCATGGTTTTTGAGCCATAAAACAGAAGACTTGAGGGGCCTCAATGACATGACTGGTTTCACCTCAAAACAGCTGCTAGATTCTTTAACTAAATGATTTGGGAAGTCAAAAAGCTAACTGAAAAACTCTGGAAGTGGAAATTTGTGTATTCCTGAGATTTTAGAGCCCAAGGGAGTGGTGGTGGTAGTAATGCACCAGGCTATCAACTGAAAACTCTGGCGGAATATGCCTTAGAAATGGGAAACTACAGGTCTCACCAAATTACCCAGCCTTCACGCAGCACTGACCCTAACTAAATTAAGGTTATTAGTGTCCCACTCTATATTTCAAGCAGAAAAACAAACAAACTACCTCTGGAAAAAGAAACCATCTGATACAATCAAGATCCTATGCAATTTTTAAAAATCAAAATGCTTAACAACCAGAAAAATTATAAGGTATGTGAAACCAGTACCAAATGATCAAAGACCAAGATGATATTAGAATTCCCAGTAAAATATACTGAAATAACAAAAATAAAATTATCGTCTCAAAACATCATCTACCTAGGAATTTTTAAAAATTCTAATAGATGTGCAAGACATTTATATTAAAAATCTTTAAATATTAAGTGCTCTGGTGTGAATATTTTGTGTTCTCTCAAAATTCATATGCTGAAATCCTAACCCCCAAAGATGATCGTATTAGGAGGTGGAGCCTTTGGGATGTGTTGGGTCACAAGCTCAGAACCCTCATGAATGGGATTAGTGCCTTTATATAGGAAGCTCCAGAGAGCTGTCTTACCCCTCCTGCTAGGTGTAGACACGGAGGGAAGGCACCAGCTGTGAACCAGGAAGAGGGTGGTCCTCACCAGAAGGCAATCAGGCTGGCACCTTAATCTTGGACTTTCAGCTTCCAAAACTCCAAGAAATAAATTTCTGTTGTTTATAAGCTATCCAGTTGGTGGTATTTTGTTATAGCAGCCCAAATGGACAAAGACATTGAGGGAAAATAAAGGCAACCCAAATAAATGGAAGAAGACACCATACTCGTGGCTTGGAAGACTTAATATTATAGAATCAATTCTCCCCAAATTGTTCCATAGTTTCAACATAATCCCAGCATGATTTTCTTCATTTTTAAAATTTCTGATAAGCCAAAATTTAAGTGGAAATATAATGTGCCAAGACTACCTGAGACAATATTGAGAAGGAACAAAGGTGTAAGATTTAGACTACTAGACATTATATTATATGTCTATTATAAAGCTCAATAATTTAGGCAGTGTAGTATTGGAGCAAGGATAAACAAATACACTAATGGAATAGAACAGTGTTCAGAAATAGACCCATATGTAATCAACTGATTTATGATGAAACTCTTTTCAATAAATTTAGCTAGGTCAACTGGGTATGTATATTAAAAAAAATCAGGACTTCTACCTCACACCATAGATCTAAGTCTACTCTAGAAGAATAGTAGATGTAAGTGTGAAAGGCAAAACAATAAAGTTTTAGAAGAAAACAGAGGAGAATGTCTTTATGATGTTAAGATAGGCAAAGATTTCTTAAATAGGGCACAAAATGCTAACCATAAAGGAAAATGTTTATAAATTGGACTCTATTAAAATTAAAAATATCTGTCATCACTAAAAACCATGAAGAGCAAAAAGGTAACCTACAGAATGGGAGAATATATTTACAAGACATATATGTGATATCATATATACTTATATATATTAAAAGACTTGTACCCATAATATAGAGATTCTCCAAATCAATAAGAAAAACTGGTCAATCCAATGGAAAAATGAGTAAGACCAGGAATAGGCAATTCACAAAGGAATTATGCAAATGGCCAATAATAATAATAGTAATAAACACTGGAAAAAGTGCTGAACTACAGAGTTACCAAAGAAATACAAATTAAAACCACCATTTAGTATCACTAAGCACCCAAGAAAATGGCTAAGTTAAAAAAGATAAATAATATAAACTGGTGGACAGAAGTAGGATGTCCCAGAAGGCTCATACAATTTTGGTGAAAGTATTAATTGGTATAAGCATTTTGCATTTGGGGAGTATCTAATGAAGATGAAAACAGACACACTCTCTGACCAGATATACTACTCTTGGATATACACCTCAAGAATGTTTTCCAAAAGATAGATCCAAGAAACACTATTACTAAATATTCCCATAGTGGAAACTATCCAAATGTCCATCAGCAATAAAATGGGTAAATACATTGCACTACATTCAGACCATAGAATATACCGCAATGAGAATGACTATCCACAACTACACCCAGTTAATATAGGAAGTTCTCACAAATATAATGTTGAGCGGGGAAAATCAAACAGCACAAGCTATATAATTTTATTTATATAATATGCAGAAAGATGCACAACTTACCTATAATGCTGGTCAATCTTTTTTGGAGATAGTGATTGGAAGGGGGCAAAAAGTGCTGGTAACATTGTTTCTTATACTGGTGGTGGCTACATAGATGTGTTCAATTTTTTGAAAATTCATGGAGCTGTACATTTATGTATATGATACTTTTCTGTACATGAAATTTTCATAAGAAGTTAAAAAAACAGACAAGAATCAGCTTGAAAGGGCCCCTACTAGTCAAAGCTGAGATCAATTTAGCATTAAAAAAAGGGGAATTAAAAGGAGATTATAGAAACACAAATTATGAAAAACTGTAAGTTCATAATACTAGTAAAACAAAGATGATAAAAATTCATGTCAGCATTGAGACAGCTTTGAGAGCAACAATTAACTTTGAAAATTAGTGACGAATAGTAAGAAATTAAGCATCTCTTGCTTTCCCTGTAAAATTGTCTTCCAAATAGCTTTAGCTGATTAAGGAAAGGTCTATTTTTATATTAAAAATGTCAATTAATGTAGACTGATAGAATTAGAAATTTACCATATGGAACTCTAATGAAATGACTAGTTCTGGAACCAATTAGGTTAATGGTTTATAGGATAATGGTTCTAGCTCAACTGTCCAATGAAAATATCAGACTGTCATCACCCTAATTCAATGGTCAACCCTAGTATTACTAATGGTTGTTCAACCAGTTATGTGTTCTGATATGATACAATATGAGGCACATGATATCATCTACAAGGTGCTCTAACAAAAAAAAATGTTAAATTCAATCAAGCCTTTATATTTAAATTCTAGCATTCAGGAAATAAAAAGGAAAGAATACATCAAATAATACCAAATGAGGAGGAAGGTAGGTAAATCCATAAAGTGAAGCATTTTATGACATATCTGGCCTGGTCTCTTCAATTCTTCAATTAGTTTTGAAGGCACAGGTAAGGAAGGACTGTGCTTTGTTATAAATGACTTAGAGAAACAACCAGATGAAATGTACAGTCTAGACTAGACCCTCACTTGGATCCAATCAGTTACATAAAGAACATTTTCAAACTGGTTACAGGTGAGATGAAAATTTACTGATTGAGAAAGGTGTACATGACAAGCTGAAAAAACAAAAAACAGGTTATAAAACAGCACATGTAGAATGACTTTATTTTGGTGTGTGTGTGTGTGTGTGTATACACATACATATATATAAAATAATGAATAATATATAATATACATGTATAGAATTTGTAGAGTAATGTTGTGGGAATGTGGTGAATGTTCTCCAATCCCCAATCCACTTCCCCTTCCAGGCACACAAAGGCAGTACTTCTCAGGCTGATGCAAGAGGGCAGGATAAATAAGTTCTGCGTAGAAGAAACTTACGGTGCTTTCTGCTCAGAGACTGTCTTTCCCTGCAATAACAATCATGGCGGAAGCCTCGTACTGAGATATAGAGAACAAAGACCATAGTAGCCACGACGTGGAGGCTCACTGTCCTGGAGAGTCACCCAAACCCACAGCCGACTTTGAATGAGTGACAAATAAACTCTGTTGTGTTAAGCCACCTAGATTTTGTTTTGTTTGTTATTAGAGATGAACTCGGCTTAATCTAACTTATCTGACAAATAGCATTCTAGATTACAGTGGTGGTAAAAATGTTACTTTCTTACTTTTTACTTTTTTCCTGGTTTTCTATAATGTCCATGTACTTCCCCTTTTTTAAGTAATAAAAGGTTACTTTTTTATATAGTGAAAGGTGACCACCTTCACCACCAAAAATGAAAATATCATCAGAGACAATTTCCTAGGTGTAGTTGCCATAAAAGCAGCATATAAAATCCATATACACAAAAGAGGAAACTAGTTTCTATTAGTGCATTAGATCAAAGACAATTTTCTAGATTTGGTCACCATAAATATGGTACAAATTCATATAGATGTTCTATAACAGTATAGCCTTTTGAAAACTTGATTTTTGATAATAATGAAAATGTAGTTAGGAAAGATTATATAAGTGTACATGCTAACATGGCTTGAGCAATTTATCAAGTTCCTTATTTTTGAGATACTTATTATTTAGGAGAAGGGTGTGAACTTTCTTCAGACAATCCAGATTTTCATTTATAGTTGATCTGAATATACACTTCTGTATCACATTTCTCCTTGGTATTGAAGGGTCCTTAGATTTAAGTTATGAAAAGTAACAGTCCTCAAAGTTTCTATTAACGAAACTGTTCATAACAGACTCATAGTGAAAACTACCCAGAAATCCATCAATGGTACAATGAGTAAACTATGATATAATCACACCAAGGAACAGAAAAGCAACAAGAATGAATGATCTACAACTACTCACAACACTGTGTATGATTCCTACCAACAGTATAAATGAAGAAGGCCAACCACAGTAGTTATATAATATGAAAAAAAACAGGCAAAACAAATCTCTAACTACTTTGTTGGGAGATTATGACCAAAAGGAGACACAAGGCAGGCTTCTGAAGCACTGGTAAATTCTGTTCTTCATCTGGGTGACAGTTACATGGATGTGGTCAGTTTGTGAAAAATCCACTGAACTTTGTATTTACAAGTGCATGTGTATTATACTTCAATAAAATGTTTTTTAAAAGTTTTTGGAAGTATGCCATTTCATTTAAGACTATGCTTTCAATATGTCACTAAGATCTTAAATGGACTTAAAAGCACATTTATATTTGGAAAATTTATCTTTTACATAAGAGATTACATATATGAGAGATAATCCTAAATTTTACGAATATGAAATTCTAAAGTTTAGCTATTTTAATTATGCACTATACAACATAAAACTACAAAAGGATGCATTATACAAAGGCTTAATTAGATCATTTTTCAGCAAAATGGTTGTCAAAAATCTGAATAAATATGAACTAAGTTAACTTACAATTTTCCGAATGGCAATTTAAAAATAAGCACTAACAAATCTCTAATGAAATGTTAACATTATTTTATTACATTATATTTTCAAACTATTCATTAAATATTTCAAATAATCTTGGTATTACAGATGTAGAGACACAACCACATCATTCATATTAATATTTATTTCCCTGACAAGAGTCTATTTAAATGGGTCGAAATTATCTTCACTATTTTATATTTGAAAAAACTGAGGCAAAGAAAAGCTAATTGTTTAATACGATTATCAATAAGATCATTAAAATGTTTAGACTTTCAAACATAAAAAGATCATGAAATAAAAATTAGCAATGGTTTTACTTATGAATTACACCTCCTGTCTTAAAAGAGTAGTTACATAGTATAAATATCTGCATTGCATTTAAGAAAAGCTTGGCAGCTATTAGAGAATTCATCAAATATACTAAGACTTGTCCTCTATCTTAAAATGTTGAATCTCAAATACAGAAACCAGTAATAATAAAATAATTTATAATCACAGAATTCAGTATAATATATCATAGAATATCACAGAATAAATGGGGCAATTACTGAATATATAACATGTATGATAAAAAACACAAAAATTAAGTAAAAAAATAAAAGGCACTACCTTCTCCATTTTAGGTTTATTAGTATTTTTATTTCAAGACAAAACCAGATTAAATAAATTAGAGTTACCTTGACAGCCACTCCTTTTCCTTCAGGAAATTCTAGGAGATGAAAAGTCAATTCTTCAACTCTATTAATGCAGAGCTTTGGGTCAGCTGTTCTTCGCAGTGCCTGAACCAACGCCCGGGTTCTGTTATCAATACTCACTCTTGCAATAATCTACAAAGATATATTAAGATATATATGATTAGAATAGGAAACTGCACTAGAAATGCCAACAAACGATTCAAGTTTCTTAGATTCCATTAGGAAAGGAAACTCATAAATGTGACAAAACTGAAACTTAAACCATACTGTATCACAACTTGCCTTTTCTCGCTGAAGAGAGAGCCGCTTTTTCTCCTCTCCATCTTTGTCTTTGCTGACAGTCTGTTCAGCCTTAACAGCCACGTCCTGTTCTTCCGACTGACTCTTTGAATCATACTTTAATTTGGGGACAAGTCCACCAATATAACCACCGACTAAAGCCTGTACTCCTTCAGTGGGACGAGAAAGAAAGTTAGCAATGCTCTGTTTAGTAGACACGGGAAGAACCTCAGGGGTCACACTGGGTCCCGTAGGTTTGTCCACGGCGGATGACGAAGATTCTGAGTCCAGCTTCTTATCAGCCAGGATGCCTGGAGAATTGGATTTCTCTTCTTCAACCTTTCTATCTTCAAGTTCTAATTTGTCCCGGAAATGGTTATTTTCCTTTTCTTTAGACATTTTCTCCTCACGTTTGAAGTATGAATTAATATGACTTGATAAAAAATAGAATGACTCTCCAAATTTTGTGGTTATATTTGTGTAATGAAAAAGGCTTTCTTTACCTGTATCTTCATCTACAACATGACTCTTCTTTTCTGGTGATTTGCCACTGTATTTTTTCAGAGCTTTGATGGCTTGTTTAATGTTTTTCTGTTTTAACCAGTCACTATCCACTACTTTTCTTAATATTCGAGAACTTGGCTTAAATTGAGCTAAACGTGAGATCATTTCATTCTGTTTGCCAAAAACAGCCTTTGAAACAGAGTTCAAAGTACTTTTAATACGGGACATACGAATGCTCACTTTCGTAAGTCCCTTGGGAGCAGAAGTGCTAAGTTTCAAAATTCCAATATGCAAACCATGGCTGCTTGGAGAGTGACAGGGCTTACTGCAAGAATGGGCTTCAGTTTGGGCCCACTTACGTCTTATTTTGCTTGTATGAAAACCTCTTTGCAGACTGATGTGGCTTACCCTCCAGTAATGTCTAGGTGAGTACAAGAAATGCAGTTGCTTGTTTCTCTGCTTCCCACAAAGACTTCTTGCATTACTAAGGAGGTAAATATAATATATATCTATAGTCAAATTAATAGACATAACTTAAAAATCATTTAATTTCTATATGTTATGATTTTCACTTCATTCCTGAATGCTTCATTTAAGAAATGCCATAATTCATGGTCTTACCTGAAATACCAAGAAAAAAAAATTAGGATTCAAGGTAAAACTGAAATAGGGACTAAGACAAAATACATTACTACTCAAACAAAACTCTGCAACTTGTCTCAAAAAGACAGAATAATAGTTTTCATTACAGCTAATATAAATTTCACTTTTAAGCTCATAGAAGTAGTTCAGTTTTCAGTACAGAAATCAGTGAAAAAAGCAAGGGTATAAATAGTAGGATGTTTCATGACAACTAATTTAGGGAAGCTCCAAGAGATACGTTTCCTATATCAAATAACTTGAATATGCAATTTAGATAATACTATGCTGTTTTTCTTCCTTATTGTTAAAGTCTTGGCTACTTTACATAACACTAAACTTTAAGACAAGAGCCAAGTCTTATACTTTATTCACTGCAAACCATTTATAAAATATTTTATATACACCAGACATTGTGCTAGACACTGAAACCACAAAGACAAACAGGATATCAAGGACCTTTCAGTCTAGAGCTAGAGAAAGCCATGTAAAAGAGATTTTACTATCCAGTAACAAGTGTTTATTAAATCAAAGAACAGATTATAGAAGAAGCAACATGCAACTTCTAATAGACAACTGGTTCAAAACCACAATATAAATAGAACACATAAAGATAAGAAAGAAAAGATTAATCCAGTAAAAAAATAGGCAATGGACATAAACCAGTCACAGAAGAATAAATACAAACAGTGAAATTATGAAAACATCCTCCACATTGAAAATAAATGCCAACCGAAATAGACATTTTGTTTTTTCAACGGGTCAAAATGTAAATGATTGATAATGTCCAGTACTGATAAATGGGCTGGGGAAATGGGACACAGCTGGCTATCTGACAGTACCTAATGAAATTTTAATGCTGTCTGTCAAAATATTAAGGGGACATATTCCTTAATCAGCAATTGCACTATTAAGAATCTATCCTACAGAACTACTTGCGTAAGAGTGCAAAGATATGTTTCCTGACACATTGCTTGAAACAACAAAATCCTAAAAAACAACTCTAAAGCTTCTAGCAAGGAATGGTTATATAAATTATGGTACATGAAAACAGTGGAGTGAGTTATCATATAATATGATGTAGCAGTTAGAGAAAATTAGGTGATCTGTGTACATTGACATATCCTCCATACACAGTACAGTGAAAAAGGCAAGCTGCAATGCTATATGTACACACACATGAAGATATACAGATGTAGATATGTAGATATTATGTAATAAAAAAACCCCAAAAGTCTATATATGAAGTTTAAATCTGTAGCTACACATACACATACACAACAGAGAGAGATTCTGAAAGGATAGCCACCATTTATTCTTGTGAACTGAAGAATGGGATCAAGAAAATGAGGAGAAGGGCTTTTCCTTTTTACTTTTGTATTGTCTGAGTTATTTACAATGAGCAAGTATTACTTTGTAATTAGAAAAAGCCAACAGCTTTAAGCAGTTTAACTGTGCCCTGTGAATAGAAGACACATGACAAAGGTAGATACCCAGGTGAGTCCAACAAAAGACAATAAAAACTGGGTAAAGTTAAAAAGGAATTCATCATACGGTAAAGACAAGAAGGAAAGGAAAGAATTCTAGACAGGAAAAATAATGGAAAAAAGTCAATAAATGCAAACACAAAAAAGCATTTAAGAAAGCATTCACAACATGAACAAAAACTGCAAGTAGTCTTGTTTCACTACAGGACCTAGAGAGAACAATGAATGAGAGAGAGGTAGAAAATAATACTGCAGAGTCTGGGTCAGATTGTGAAGAATCTTATAAATACTGCCAAGGAATATAAATATTACCAAACTGTCAAAAAGGATTTTAAGCAAAGGAAAGACATTTAGAAAGATGATTCTAGCAGATCTGACAAAATGGAGTTATGGGCAAGACTGAGAAAGACAGAAAACCAAGAACCTATTAAGACTGTTTGGAACATGATAGTCTGAGTGAAAGTCTTTCTAAATTGCATGTGAGCATATTACTTTAAATACCCAATTTCACAGAAGGGAGGAAAGAAAAGAAGCAAACCTATTTGCCTTTCTGGGCCTTCTGAATTCCTTTAGACCTGCAGTCAATGTAATTACTCTGAATTAACATAAAAGCCTGCAAACCACCACACAGAAATATTTCACCTAATATAAATACAATACTTGATAAATTGTAATATTTATAAAATTATACTGAAACATAAATATTTGATAAAACATCAACCAAGTACTATGGATGAAAAGTCATGCTCAAAACCAATAATGGACTCCTACAACTCAACAATAAAAAATAACCCAATTAAAAAGTGGGCAAAGGACTCAAACAGACATTTCTCCAAAGATGACACACAAATGGCCAACAAGCATATGAAAAGATGCTGAATATCACTGATCAGAAAAATGCAAATCAAAACCAAAAGAATTAACACCTCGCACTCATTAATACCCATCAGGATGGCTATTATCAAAAAAGAAAGAAAGAAAGAAAAGAGAAGAAAGGAACAGAGCAAGTGTTGGCAAAGATGTAGAGAAATTATAACCCTTGAGCACTATTAGTGGGACCGTAAAATGGTTCAGCCACTTTGGAAAAGAGTAGAGCAGTTCCTTACAATATTAAAAGTAGAATTACTGTATGATCCAGCAATCCTACTTCTGGGTGTATTTCCAAGGGAACTGAAAGCAGGGTCTCAAAGAAATATTTGCACACCTATGTTCACAGCAGCACTATTCACAACAGCTGAGGTAGAAACAACCCAAAAGTCTACAAACAAATGCAGATGAATAGATAAACAAAATGTGGTATATACATACAATGGAGTATCATTCAGCCTTAAAAAGGAAGAGGATCCTGTTACATGCTACAACATGATGAACCTTCAGGACATTATTTTATGTGAAATAAACTAGTGACAAAAAAACAAATACTGTATGATTTTACTTATATGACAATCTAGAATAGTCAAATTCATAGAGGGAGTAGAATGGTGGTTACAAGGGGTAGGGGGGTTGGGGCAAAGGGGAGTTGTTCAATGATTACAGAGTTTCAATTCTGCAAGATGAAAAAACACTGGAGATTTGTTTTGTAACAATGTGAATGTACTTAATGCCCCTGAACTACTTAAGAATGGTTAAAGTGGTCAGTTTTATGGTATGTTTTTTACCACAATAAAAAAATTTTTTTTTAAAAAACCAATAGGGGGAAATACACAGTTGATGAGGAATCAAAAGACCTGGATCTGGAGTCACATTACCTTGATGGTGCAGAGACCCTAAGCAAACGAAAACCAGTCAGAGCTGGTGAACCTCATGGTGCCTCAGCAGAGTCAATCGAAACTACCATGTAAGGACACTTCCAAAGCTCAGAGAAAAACAGGACTCCTACACTAAGCAACCACCACTGAAGATTAACTCACAAAGATTACAAAACATAAAAGGAGATGAACCATCACCTCAAGAAGAGTGCCAGCAAATATAGCCAACAGGAAACTGTGCAACCAAAACTTGGAAATAACAGAAGAAAATTAAGAAGGTTTAAAATGCTTAATGACATAACAGAGGGAAGAAAAACAAGGAGACAAAAATGAGAACTGTACAAAGAGTTAACAGGAAGGGCAAAATTTTAGAAATCAGAACTCCAGCTACATGATACACCTATAGTATAATGACAAATAATAGTTGAAAATAAAGGAATGGGGGAAGTGATATAATAGGCCTATATTAACCAAGAGAAAGCATAAAGCATTTAAAAGCACATTTAAGGCAAAAGCATTAAATAAAGATAAAAAAAGGAATACCATCTAACAGTTAAAAGCAGTAATCCTTTTGCTTATAAACATCAGGTAGACTTCCAGGCCTTGAAGAACAAGATAATCTATTACAAATGAACAAATAACTAATATAATGTGTAATATCAGGTCAAGAAGTGCCATGAAGAAAAGTAAAGCTGGGAGTTGGGGAGCAGAGGCAAAGAGAGTGCCATTTTAGCTGATGCGGTCAGGAGAATTGAGTTGACATTTTACTGGAGATGTGAATGAAGTAAGGAAGCAAATTATTATAAGTATCTGGGATAAAAGTATTCAAGGCAGAGGAAAAAGCAACCAAGGCTTTGGAGACAAGAATGAGCTTTGTCTACTCAGGAATAGCAAGAACAACAAGGTGGCTGAAGGGAAGTTAGAAATGGGAAAAGAGCTAGAGATTGGCCCAAGAGTCAAGCAGAAGACAGAGCTACGTAAGCCTAGACTGTGGTAAGGTGTCTGCATTGTTCCCTTCCAGTAACATATAACCCTCACAACCAATTATGAGTATGCTTACAACTTGGCATTGAAATACAGTATATAAAGCTAAAAAAGAAAAGAGGGGGGACAATTTACAGGCAGTCTAGACAATTTTCATAAAGAATGGTCAACAAAATCCATCAGCCAAATCGCCTCCAAATCACAACACTAGTAAATGCAGATAGGAGTTTTGAGAGTAAATTCAGCTGGAACAAAAGTTAGATTACAAAAAGATAAGGAGAAGAATGTTAAGTGGGAGGTGCCATCAATTACTGAGAAAAGACCAGGGAAGACTAAAGTACCTATTTATAGGGTAGTACAAATACAGTGTAGGTATAAATAGAATAGTAAAGCTTAGACCAACTACTAGGGAATGGAATTGAGTTTACCAGAGAAAATAAGGGAATTTTCAGGGTGGAGGCTCAGCAAAGGATGGAAGAATAAATTTATAGTGGGCTTCACTTAAGGTATTGCAATAATGCAGGCACAAAGTGACAAAGGCTTGAATTAAGGTAATAGTACTACAATGGGGACCGACATTACTCTGAGCCACACTTTAAAAGTAGGTAAACAACAAAACACACGGCTTGGTGACAGCAAGGAATGGGGTAAGGAGTTCAAGGCGTCAAGACAATGTAAAGGTTTTTAATCACAGACACAGGGAGAATAGCACTTGTGAAAATGAGATAACTGCAAACGGAACCAATTTAATATGAAAGAAAATCTCTTGGGATACAGTGACAGTGGGACATTCAAATGGGGATGTACTACAGGAACAAAGGCTGTGGATTTATGTTTGGAGTTACTAGCACAGTGATAGCTGAAACCTTAAGACTGGACTACCAAAGAAAGGTTTATAGTAATAATTCTTGAGAATTTGGGGATCACAGAACCTGGTAAAAGCTCCTTTTCCTTGAAAAATAGTTTTTTTGCAATATATACACACTACATTTTCCATGGCACTTCAAGATATTCATGGACCTACTGAAATATTCCTTGGTTTCAAATTTTAAAACTCTGCTTTAGAGAAGAACATGAGTAGGACTGCTACCCAGTTAGGAAGAGGACGTCTTCTAAAGAAACAAAAAGGAATAGGAGATAGCCAAGATGTGGAAGCGGCCTAAATGTCTATCAGTGTATGAATTGATAAAGAAAATGCAGTACATATATACAATGGATATTACTCGGCCATAATAAGAATGAAATCTGGCCATTTGCAATGACGTGAATAGACCTAGAGGGTATTAAGCTAAGTGAAATGTCAGACAGAAAAAAGGGTACTTAGCCATATGACTTCACTTATAGGTTGAATCGAAAAAATAAAACAACCAAATAAACACAACAATAGATTCATTAACACCAAGAACAAATTGGCAGTTGCCATAGAGGAACGGGATGAGGGTACAGATGAAGTAGGTGAAAGGGATATAGAGGGACAAACTTGCAATTATAAAATAAGTAAGTCATGGGGATGGCAACTACAGAATAGGGAATATGGTCAATAATATTATAATATCTTTGTATAGTGACAGTTGGTAACTTATTGTGGTGAACATTTCACAATGTATATAATTACTGAATCACTATATTGCACACCTGAAACTCCAATAATATTGTATATCAACTATACTTCAATAAAAAAATGAATAGATTGGGGGGGAAAAAAGCATAGGAAAATAGATATCCTGAAAAAATTAAAGCAATGGGAAACCAATACAACTGCAAGTTTTAAAAGTATTGGATAATGAATAACGTACATAACTACTGTCGAAGCACTTGATTGTTGAATGTTGTATGCTTGAAATCAATATAACATTGTATATCAGCTATACTTCAATAAAAAAATAAAAATAAAAAATAGAAGTTGTGGATAATGAAGAAAGTACTACTGAATTACTATGTGGTACACCTGAAACCAATATAATATTGTTCTATACTTCTATAAAAAATCAAGTAAATTAAGTGGAAAAAGAGCATAGGAGAAAAAGAATTCTGGAAAAGTCAGGACAATAGAAACCAATACAACAGCAAATTCTAAAAAGTATCGGATAATGAACAAAGTAAAATATAAGATAAGGGACAGAACGATGAGAACTAAGATATGACAGGAAGGTGTCTAGGGCTAAGAGTTCTAAATTTGTCCTTTTCACAAGTGAAACAATATGTACCCTTCAGCATAATTCCGCCGTCATTACTAAGTGAAAGAACAACTCAGTGTACAAGCTGTACTTCTATCAAATTTGCATGTGAAGCAAGTAAATACATAAACTAGTGAAACTGACCCTTACACTCAACATCACTCTTTAAGAGGGCACTGCTTTCAAGATTTTAATTTAGATCTGATATAGAAATAGAAAAACAAGACTGACATTTAGGAAAAGTGTGAATAATAAAAATTATGAAATAAGAACATATTCTTATATTGAGCATACAAGAAATCTGCACAAGCAATTTTAACAAAATGACTAGAACTGGATTGAAATAACTGCCTCATAAGAGGCATAAACTCGGTTCACAGTTTAATACAATTTCTTTTAATTCTTGGATTTTTAACTTTTTAATTTTTAAAAGCATTTTCTTGATACACTGAATCGTAATTTTGTCACGTTTGAAATTTCAACAATTAGGACTGTAGAACCAGGATGCAACAGTTACTGGGGCAAAAACAGCACTTTAAATAGGATTATACATGGTCCCTGGGCCACATCTCTTCTACTTTTTTCCTAGAGGTCACCAGTTTTCTTTAAAGTTACCATTGTGTTAAGCTTAAAAACCATGTCCCTCCCAGCATGATAACAAAATGACAATGACAGGAAGCACTAGCAACGCACTGATTCATGCGGCTTCACCTTTTAAAAAGCACATATACCTGAATCCGCTTAAGCAACAAGCAGTCCGGGGTTGTTAAATGTGGGTGGGGTTAAAAAGAAATCTCTGGCAAGCAAAAACACCAAGCAGAAGAACCACCGGTACCCTGACAGTCGAGGATGATGCTGAATAGGGAAACATTTTTGACAGTCACCAGTGAACTGCTGGAGTACCGTCCAGTCCAGGGGAAGCCACAGAGACTTGGGGTGATTAGGCTGGGAGTCGGGGTGGGACAGAGGCGCGGGGCGGGACCAGAAAAACCAAAACAATGCGCGTTTATGGGCCAGGACTACCCGCCGCGCGGGAGGCAGGGCTCGGCGCACCAATCAGCCCCTGGCCCGCGACCTCCTTCCGGCGCCCGGCGCCTTTGGAACCTCGGCCTGGGACCTCCTCCAAGCCAGGCGGCGCCCCGCCCTCTTACTCTGGAAGTGCCCTCGCAGGACAGATAGAAGACACGGAGCGCCGGCCAGTGCCCCGGGAAACCAGGCTTTTTTCTATCGTCCCGCCTCTGTCCCCCAGCGGCCACTTACCGGAATGAAGGCCGCAGTTACTTCGGTGGTAGTGGAGACGCGCCTCTTCCCGGGTGGAAGTCCCCTCGGCCGACCTGCATCAGCTGAGCTCCCAACACAAACAGAAGAGCAGCCAGGGCACCGCCCCTCCCCAGCTCCGTCCCGCCCCAGCGGAAGTGACGCACGCGCGGCCTGCGCCCCCCCCCACCTCCCCCGGCAGCCGGGGCGCCTCCCGGGCCTCTGTCCTCCGGTCAGTCGCCGCTCCGCCCCATCCCCGAGACATGCGCAATAGGTCATGACTGAGCGCCGGGCTGACGTGCCTCGGCGCACGCGCCTGCGCATGCCGGGAGAGGCGCATTTGGGGAGCTGTCTTGGGGGAGTTTCCCTCGCTCGCTGTGCCAGTTTACAGGCCTCAGGCCTCTGTCGGCTGAGCTAAGCTTGCATTTCCACTACCTTGAAGGTCTTTTCGATGCTCTTTCCAGTCCTCGGGTCCCCGGGCTGCGGCACCAGCCCCCTAGAGGGTGGTGAGGGGCATGGGCCAGGCCCTGACTGCACTGCTGTCACCATTCATTCCTGGGCAGGGCCACCGGACTAAGCATCACCGGAAATTACTTTCACATGTATCATTACGTTGGAAATTAGCCTCTGTAATTAGCATACACTGCCCAACAAAAGGGCTCACACTTAAGACATATTTGTGGAATTGACAATTTTGTATACCAGTGTCAACAAACTACTGTCCCTTAGGTAAATATGGCCCACCGCCTATTTTTCTACATCTATGAACTAAGAATGGTTTTTAAGTGTTTCAAAGGTCAAAAAAAAAATGAATTGAACACATGACAGTGACATGAAATTAAAATTTCAGTGACTATAAAAAAGTTTTATTAGAACACAACCGTGCCCATTCCTTATATATCAAGTGGCTTTCATGCTACACCAGCCAATTTGGGTAGTTAACACCAGCTTCCTTTATTATCTTGAAATGACCTTGCAATTAAATTGAGGCTAGGAGTTGTAGAAGAATAGTCTACTACACCACTACTTCAAAATGTTACCAACTGTTAGACCCTCTTCCTTCTAGGCTTGCCGTATCTCATGGATGTTAATGCTTTAGCCCCCTGTATGTAAAGTCTTTAAGGAAGGAATTGTATGAGCTGCCAAACGTAGTGGGTGTTAGACGGATACTGTTTTTTTTCTTTTTTAATTTAGGTAAGGAAGCCAGTTTGCTAGGCTCTTGGGGCACAAATGGCTGGATTGTGTACATGATAATGCCTGGAAAACCCCTGCAGTGCATAATCCGGACATGTTGTTTAGTTATATAATAGTTAAAAGATGTATGCACAAACTAAACTTTACAGGCATATGGAAGTAACTTTACTTCTGGAGAGATGCTTCTCCCTCATTGTTAAAGGGAAAAAAAATCACTCTTAAAACTTGTTAAAACAATAAGGAAGACTTTATTCAGGACTATTTCCATAGGTGTCAAGACTATTGCAATAGGGGAGAGAGACTGGGTTCAACTATGAATACAACAAAGGTAGCTGGAGATGTATTGCCAACGAGCAGATTGAGGTCAATGGATGGAAAATTAGTAAGTAGGACATGAAGGGTAGGAGGGATTGCCAAACCAATTTAACAGGATTCTTGCTGAAGATAAACTGGTGTGATCAGATATCAAGGATGAGAGATGAGGAATTTGATCAGATATCAAGAGTGATCAGGTATCAAGGGTGGGTGATTCTCTTTAAACTGCCTTATCAAGATTGTTAAAATTGGACATGACAAGCGAATGACAGGCCCAGACAAGAAGCCTAGATGAGAGGAGTGCTCAGAGAAACCTCATTATAATCTGATCATGGAATTTTTTGTCACCATTTTCCCCCCCTTGTTTTCCTTTATTCCCTAATTGAGTCACATTTTCTCAAATTTCTAGATTTTCCTCATGTCAGATGTTGTTCAATAACTCTCAAGCCCTCCTCCATCTGTGCCCCCTTCCCTCATCCACCCCCGTACTTTAACAGTCATGAAGTCTGATGATTCTTACTGCAAGATCTCTCAAATCTCTCCACTGCTCTACATTGCCATGCCCACTGCTTTGGTTTAGGCTTTCATCCTTGCAACTCAGTCTTGCCTAAACTGTTTTTCCAGTCTGTAACTGGCCTCAGACCCAGAATCATTCTCTCTGTGTAGCCAAGCTAATATTTCTAAACTGCATGTCCAATCATGTTTTACCTGAATAAAAAGTTTTTGTTGGCACTTCATCCTCAAGGAATAAAATGCATGGCATGACAGGCTCTGACCCTGCCAAACTTCCAGCCTTAATTTCACCAGTTGCCCCTTGCCCTTTACCCTCCAGCCATACCTATATTTCCCCAAATACCTTATTCCTTTTCATATTTCAAAGTCTTTGTCATGCCTCCCTCAAAACCAGGAAAGCCTTCAAGACCTATTCTCCTACCATACAATCTAGCAGTTGTACTTCTTGGTATTTACCAAAAGGAGTTGAAAACCTGTGCCCACACAAAAGCCTACACACAGATGTTAATATCAGTTTTATTCATAATTGCCAAAACTTGGAAGCAACCAAGATGTCCTTAAGTAGGTGAGTGAATAAATAAACTGTTAGTCATCCAGACAATGGAATAGTATTCAGAGCTAAAAAGAAATGAAATTCAAGCCATGAAAAGACATAGAGGAATCTTAAGTGCTTATTACTAAGTGAAAGAAGCTAATCTGAAAAGGCTACATACTGTATGATTGCAACTCTATGACATTCTAGAAAAGGCAAAACTATGGAGACAATGAAAAGATCAGCAGCTGTTTAAGGAAGGGGTTAGTAGAGGATTAATAGGCAGAACCTAGAGGATTTTTAGAGTGGAAATACTCTGTATGATAATATAATGATGGATACATGTCACTATGTATTTGTTCAAAACCATAGACTATACAACACCAAGAGTGAGTCCTGAGGTCAACTGCGGACTTTGGGTTATTATGATATATCAATGTAGGTTCATTTGTAACAAATGTACCACTCTGTAACAAATGTACCATCTGGGGATGTTAACAAGGTGGGGGAAGGCTATGTTTGTGGAGGAAAGGGGGATATGGGAAATCTCTGTACCTTCCTTTCAATTTTGCTGTGAACCTAAAACCTCCCTAAATACTTACGTCTTTAAAAAGAAAATTAAGAGAGAACTATAAAACAGGAAAGCTGTGTGCGGATAAAGTGAAGGTTCCTATGGCCGGGTTCTCACCTGGCTCTGATCAGCTAGCTCACTACACACGTATGGGCAATATATTGCAATTGACTCTGTATAAAGGGCTCCACCCAGTGCTCTGGGTGACACGGTGGCATGGCTGCGAACCTGCGGGAGAACAGAGACTGGAGTGGTGGCAGCGCTGAGGACAGAGACTGAGACGGCTGCGGGGGCAGAGAGGCCCATGGGCAGAGACTGGCTTGCTCTGAGTGGACGGAATTCTAGTGACTGACTGCCACTGTGGAAATAAAGTTGGTATAAGCCCTTTCACCCCAAGAACGTTTCATTGTTATTTTTCGGTCTCATTGAATCCATTGTGAACTTGTCTGGGGCTGAAACCCATTGGCAAGACACTGTATCTTCCTACTTCATGGGGTAAATCATTCCTTCTATTTGTGCTTGCTTCTCCTAGTGCCCTTGCTGTACAGTATTATAATTTATTCATGTGTATGCTTATGAGTTACCTAAATACAGGGAGTATAACATAACTATTTGTATCTTGTGAATCTAGCATAAATATCTAGCAAATAGTAGACTCTAAAATTTTGTATTATTGAACTGATTTTTAATTTTATTCAGATTAGTAGTTTAATGAGTTAAAAATGGAAAATAAGCCCATTCATGATTCTTTTAATGTAAGAAAAAGTTTTAAGACAAAAAGAATTCCAATTAATTTCAAAATAAATTCAGTAGTATACAAAACAGGAGATTTCTTATATTTTTAATAGCAGACTAATGATATTTAATAGCCTTCAGGAAAGCATTAGATTTGTTAATGTTAATTTTAAAGACAGTAATTATTCAACTTTATATCCCTTTGCTGCTAGATAAAAAGACATCCACAGCATTCCTGTATCATTCACTTGCTGTTCTCATTCCATTTACAATGTTTACCAATTACCTATTTTAGATCTTTCCCTTCTCTAAATCCATACTCAACCCCTCTTTCTATTAACTATTAAGGTATGGCCCATTATACCTCTTAAAAGAATTTCTAGTCCCTTCATTGTTCAAGCAAAACTTAATGGTGTAGCCAAGATAAATTTAGCTGTACTGCTGTAAAATATTTCTCCAAATCCCTCAAATGAGGAATAAGTGAGAAAATAATTGTAAAAGAATAGTTACTGTGGTAGGCCAAATGACCTTCTAAAATGCCCATGCTAATCTGTTGAATTTGTGAATATGTTGTTACCTGGCAAAGGGACTTGGCAGAGGTAATTAAGGATACCTGTAGGCACCCTTTAAGAAAAGGAAATTATCCTGGATTATCCAGGTGGGCCTAATTTAATCACATGTGCTCTTAAAAGTGGAGGACTTTCTCAAACTGGGGGCAGTAAAGATGTGGTAGAAGGAAAGTCAGAGATGGTCATGGGTGGAAGGGGGGGTGGGGAGAAGGGAGGACAATTAGACAAAGAATACAGGTGGCTTTAAGGAGTAAGAGATGTTCCTGGCCAACAAACTAGAAAATGGAGACCTCAGCCCTATAGCCACAAGGAATTGAATTTTGCCAGCAACCTAAATGACCTTTAAAAGCATTTCATCACCCAGAGCCACCAGATAAAAGCCTAGGCCAGATGATGCCTTGATTTTGACCTTGTGAGAACTGGAGCAGAGGATCTAGCTCAACCTTCCTGGAATTCTGACCTATAGAATTGTGACATAATAAATTTGAGTTTTCAAAGTCACTAAATATGTGGTATTTTGTTTCATTTCCAGTAAGAGAAAATGAATACAATTACTTTTCTATTGTTTGGAGGCATGAAGGCAGGGATTTTATCTGTTTGACATCTAGGCTTGGCAATTAGTCCATACTCAGTAAATATTTGATGACTGCATCTTGAATGAATTAGATTCACTGATCCAACAGTTATTTATTGAGGGCCTACTATGTGCCCA